ATATGTTTCCTGGTTTGCCTTTACCCCGAAAGCAGATGCCACCAGGAAAAGGCACACCCATGTTGTAAGGCACTCTGGATGGTTCCAAACATCAGAAAACCCCAAATCGCACCGTTTCCTTTAGGTTTCCTAACGCCGACGAAGTAGGGAACAAGTTGATTCCCCAAGCATTACGACTGGGTGTACCAACCGGTCCAAACTAGAGGATACCTTTATAGGTTTTTGTTTTTGAGGGATTCCTTTTTGCAAGGACATCAGAAGGGAAACCACCACATTTGCGCCTTTTCAGCCTTATCATTGTCAGATGTTACGTACCTGCTTGCTCTTTTGGGTCCCTGAATTGTTTTCCTATCCAGCAATATGTTAACTTCTTGAAGCTGGCCCAGTTCTTTCGGTAGCTGGCATGTAGCCAATGAGAATGTGGGGTTTCCCGTTGTTTCGGGGGCCCCGGTTGTGGGCCTTACCGCAGGTCCAGGTTGACCCGGTGGGGGGGGAGGTTGAGGCTTACTCCTCCAAATTCACCCTTTGCACTTTTGGGGGCACTAGGAAGACTACCTTACAGGGGCTAAAGATGCAACTTTGCTTCCCAGGATTTGGAGACAGAAGCAGAGCCCATTTAGCTCAGGTTGACTTGATGTGGTAAACATCATGACAGGTTGCAACTGAGGCCACCAAGCGGGATGACAGCAGCGCACGTCAAAGATTCTGCATTCTGACACCTGCGCGAGAAATTAGAACTTCTCACCGAGTGTGGAAGCAAACAATAGGTTGAATCAAGCACAGCTTTGAAGGGGCACCTGAAGAGGGCTGTTCAAAGAGCAGTTGGGCAAACAACAGTTGTGTTATCAGAAATTGCTTGCAAAACTGTCAGTTACACACGATCGTTTTGTTTTTCAATATATGCCTGTAACAAGAGGGTCTCGTGAGTAGGAGGTCCTTTTAATACGAGCCCTGTGATTCCATTTCCTGTGTGGCCAAGGGATCGAGCCTTTGATCACAAGGACACTTGCGAGCTACCTATGGTATCTGGGATTCCACTGAGACTGCCTCACTACAAATCTTCCTCCCCAAAAGTGGTTGGCTCTTGGCACGAACTTGACCCAGGCGAAGGCTGATCAGGCTGGACCTTAAGAATTCAGGGGTCATTGTGACCCTTAGCCGCCTTAGCCACTTTCAGCTTTGGTTCTTCGGGTGAAGCATTGCAAGCTTTGCCAATTTGGGGTGCGTTGCCCCATGGTGGGATGATGTTTGAGGCCCGAACTCCCCCCCCAAACCCAAGCTGTCTGAAACATTCAAGTGATCGAGAAAACTTGTACCAGGTTGCGGGGGCAAGGCCCACCTTTGCGCACAATGTTGCTTGCAAGGGGGGCTTTCCCACGCGCAAAGGCGCAATTGAGATATGCGCAAAGGCGCAAGTGAAAAATGTGCAACGGCGCAAGTGACATAGCGGGACAAAAGTGAGGATCATGCAGTTATGATTTAGTGGCACTTATAGCGCATATTCCCCCTTTGAAGAAAAGACATGCAACTTAGTGTGTGTGTGTGTGTCTTTCTTTGTCGGAACTGGGGATTTGAACTTGATCCAAAGCCCGAAGGGGACCGCTAAAATAGGGGCATGTTTGTCAAACTCACAAATGGCGCTTCTCCCTTGATTTGTTTGCCTCAGAAACACGACACACACACACACACACACGCACGTGTGTATATATATATATGCTACCCCCCCCTTGAAATACTCAGGTTTTTCTGCAGAACTGAGGTTTTTAGCCAGACTGGGGAGACAAATGCCTTGAGACTCTGAAATGAACTGGACACTGAACTCCATGCAAATTCTAAACACGCAGAAGTTAAGCTCAACGTTGATTAGGAGTTGCGAGTTGTGTGACCGTCACATTGGCGTGCGCGAAGTGCACTTAAAGTCACATTCAAATATACAAAGTGCAATTTGGCAGCTCCAGCTCAAAAAACACAACTGTTCAGTACAGGAGTAGTGCGCGAAGTATGTTTTGGCAGCTTCAACGCGCCTGTAGCAGCCCTATTATTTGGTGTTTATTATTTTGGTTTGGCAGCGAAATTCAGCAAAACATCAACTCGGGGAAAAGGATCTCATTCCTAATCCATGTCCTTGCGCAGTTGCATTTACATGCTAACTCGAGTGGTGTGCATAGCTCCTGACATGCTAGTTCAGTCTATTTGAAACATATGTTGCAAAGCAACTATCCCACGTGTGTGTGTGTGTTGCTTGTCTAAGTTGGTTCCATCATCGCCAAGAACAAGTATTGAAATTCAAGTAAGGGAAGAATATCCAGTTAAAAAAGCTTTCGAGTTGAAACCAAATTCAAGTTTACTCGTTTGCAGTTTCTTGTGCATTTCAATAAGCAACTGGAGAAGATAGCTATTGTCATGCCCAAATGAATTTGGAATCAAACTCATTTTTGAAAGGGTTATTGTCCTTATCGCATTCCATGTGGTTTGAACCAAGCAAGAACTGAGCCAAGCCAATGACAGGAACGGGTTTTCAATCATAGATCCTATTCTTTGCATAAATGCTGTAAAACGCAGTGTTTTTCAGCATTTGCTCAGATCGTGTTGCCCTGGCTCGAAGATCGAATATACAAGATTCCACAAACATATGTTTAGAATATACTCAATCTTTGGTCCCCCAAAATTTGAAGATCTACCCAGATTTTCTATTTGAGAATCTTCCATCCTGGCCAGCCCTCAAGTCCACAAAAAAACTGTAAAGGTGTCAGCAACATTTTTCCCCCTGGCAAATTCCAGGCAGTGCAAGTGCACATCCACATTTTGATTCTGACAACGTGCACTCCCGGTCTGCCTTTTAGATTCTTCAAATCCGCACTTAAGGCAATCCAGGATCTGGATGGGAGATTGAAGATCCTCTGACAACTCTTTCTGAAATTATCCAAGTATGTACTTAGAGTAATCCAGGATGTGCTAGCACGTGCTAGCACATCCTGGATTGAAGATTGAAGATTGAAGATTCTCAGACCACTTGTTCTGGAAATCTTCAATCCATCGTGAGGACAAACTGGTATGTGCTAGCACGTGCTAGCACATCCTGGATTGAAGATTGAAGATTGAAGAATCCCAGAGAGAGTTGTCAGAGAATCTTCAATCTTCAATCTTCAACCCAGGATGTGCTAGCACGTGCTAGCACATATCAGTTAGTCCTAAGGACGGATTGAAGATATCCAGAACAAGTGGTCTGAGAATCTTCAATCTTCAATCTTCAATCCAGGATGTGCTAGCGTGTGCTAGCACATCCTGGATTGCACTAAGTACCGATGCTAGAATTTAAGTCTAAAGACGAGTGCACTTTTTAGAGCCTAATTTTAGAAGCTGGAACGTGTGTTTTGCATGCATTTTTACAGCCAAAATGTAAATTTCTGGCCAAAAACCTGAGTATTCCAGGGGGGGTACCATATAAATATATATAAATCTACATTTTTTGTTATTACTATGTTTATTTGTGTTCATCATTATTATTATTATTACTTTTCCATTATTATTACTACTTTTATTCTTATCGTTTTTATTTTTCTTTTTTTAAATGTACTATATTGTATTTTACCTGCATCTTCCTTTGTATGTCATGCAAAAAACGCTTCTTTGGGAAACACATGGTCTTTGCTATTGCTCTCGGTCATTTTTGTTGGTTTACAAAGGGATCTCATGGGGCGAGCCAGTTTTCAGAGCCCCTTGGCTCCCTGTGGCCCATTAGCTCGCTGGCTGTTTTGTCTCTCTTAACGCCGGGCTGGCGTTCCACCAGTTGGTTCGGCTTCAAGCTGCATCCGGGAGCATGATTACAGCAATCGATCGAATTTTCACCCTGGTTTTAGGGAAGCATGTACCCAGTTGCCCAGTGGATTCCGCCTGTTTTTCACTTTTTTTTGGGAAGGGTTCCCCTTTGAAGTCAATCAACCAGAAAAGGATGCCCCTTTTTTCCCTTGGCCACTGGGCATCTGAGTGTAGCTCAATCTTACGACACCCCGAGCTAACCCTCAAAATGAGCAGGCAAACTCTTTGACAACTGCTGCCCGGACCAGGAAGCCTCAGGTGTTATATTTTACTTTATGTTATTATATTATGTTTGTTTGTGTTATGTTTTTGTTTGTGTTCATTTTGTGTTATTCTATCTGATTTTTGTTTGTTGTATTATTTATTTGTGTTTTTTGGTGTTCCTATTTTGTTTTATGTTCTTGTCTTGTCTCTTTTCTTTTCATGCTTTTATTTATCTTTTCCTATATTTGTGTATGTCATGTTGTTTGTTTATGTTGTTTCTTTATTTCTGTTCTTTCTTCTCTTTTCCTTTATCTTGTGTTTTTGTTAGTATTGTACTATACCATTGCAGTTTATTTCGGCATGTATGTATATCATCTATATACATATGTAGGGTCCGTAGCCGGATGGACACCAGGCAAACACAGGTCGCGTTTCGATCCTAGGATCAGACGACCCCGTGGCTCATTGGACTTTACACCCCTTTGTCGCGTTCAGGACCCACTCGAAACGCAACCAACAGGGATGTCCTTTCCCCACGAAAAATGTGACCAAAGAGGTCAAGCACATTTTTCCCCACCATAATTACTGATGTTAACAACTTTCTGGGCCCAATTTTGGCAACCCGTTGGACTACACACACACAAAGATTGAGGCAAGTTCACAGCTGGTTACTCATCTCTTCATTTGCTGAAATGCATGTGTCTTTGGCGCTCTTTGGTTAACGCCCCAGGATTGGTCCTGGAAACGGAGGATGTCCTTTGTTTGCCCTTTCAGGGTTCCCCTGTGGGTGTTGAACCGTTTGTTTCTTCATGACCTTTGTTTGGTTGCTCTCCTTTGGTGTTCAAGCAGAACCAGTTAGGGGCTGGATTCTCTGGTTGAGTCAGATTTAGTTGCCCCTCCCCTTGTAGAAATCTTTCACGCATTAAGAAAAAGCATTAAAGGTCCCCCCATAGCCTGAAATGGATCCCTCGAGTCAGGTGGATATGTGCAACATTGCCCTCTCCGTGGACCCGCACGCTCCAAAGGCTGCGGGGGCAACGGTGTGTGGTCCTTCCTCTTCGTGTGAGTTGGCCATGGGTTGCATAACCTATGGCGATCCCATTTTGGGGTGGATGAACGTCCATTGGCCACCTATTTTGATGTTCACCAGGGGTACATGGTTTTGACCCACAGCCAGTTGTACGAAGGACCAGAACCCCAGTGGTGTCCATGTGTTTGATTGGGTTCGGGAAAGTACCAAGCATGCAGCTCTTTGCCACGGCCACTGGAGATGTGAGAAAGATAACAACACACTCACGCGAATGCGTTGTTTAAATGCTTCCGTTTGGTTGTTTTCCTTGTCGGTTTCATTGCCGGTAAAACTTGCCATGCTTTTTGACACGGAACATACGAACACGCAAAGCGGTCCCGCTGTGTTCAGACGTTGCCTTGGCAAGTTTCACCCCTTCAGCGCAACGGATTTTTGGAAGTGTCGTTTGGTTCCGTTTCCAAAAGGGTTCCAAGTTAGTTCCAAGTCCACGAAGTCATATTTTGCTAAAAGTCGTCAGGATTAATAGTGGACCTCCGCACGTTTGTTTTGGTTTTCTTCGAATTTTGGGACCTCTCCAAGTACCGACCTTCCCTTGGGAGAGCATGGACAATGGGGTTCACTATGTTGACGGACAGACTTATTTGGATTTGCAAGCACATATGAACTGGTGGGTTGGGGGGGCAATGTTGCCATGTGCACACACCAACATCCGCCAAGTAATGTGCGCAGGCGGGGGTCCCCAACAAAAGTTCAGAGCCGTTTCAAGGGGAGCCATTGCAGCCAAAAGTTGACGTATGGTGACTATCAGCATTGACGAACGAACACCTCCTGGCTCCCCTCAAGTGACGCTCTGAAGCAGTATTGGATACAAGGGAGGGGGTTGGGGTATTTTTTTTCTCCAGTTGGGGCGTGGGTGGCCACAGTCAACGTCTGTGTGGGCATGGGAGACTCATTTCTGGTGGCTTTTCTTTGGTTTCCCTTTGCACAATCCAGCCTGCAAATGATACCCTCAGAATGCACGCACCCCTATAGACTTTTTGTTTGGGGTAGCCATTTGCTTTCGGCATTTCCCAAGAAGCCCCTTCTCCATGGTTTCGGTTTGCTTGTTTGGGACCCCCAGTTGCTTTACCATGCTTTTTAGAGGTCGAACCCCCCCACCTGCTTGAGAACTTCCATTCAGGAAGGGTTGCCGACTTTGAGATTTAGACGCTCTTTTGTTGCGCTTGATATTACACACTGCAACTTTCAGTACGGAGGCTTCCGAAGGTGTGCCGACGGTTTCCCAAGGTTTACTCTATTCCCGCACGAGTCGGCTGTCGTCATGCGTCATCCTTGGAGACTTGCATGACCTGCGAACTAGTACACGAGCTATGATCGCTCTGCCCCCAGGTCCCGATTTGCCACAAACAGACGAGAAGATGACAAACCCTGCTCAACTTGCATATTAATTCATGCTGCACATGTCTAGCTATTGGTGGCTTTCTGGAAAGAAGGATCTCTGGAACGTTTGCTCAGTTCAACTAGTCATTATCGGTAAATGTGTGTGTGTGTAGTTCTTGAAGGACTCAAACGAAGGTCGTATGCGTTGCAATACTGATTGATAGGTGTGTCCAAACATAGAGAACCTCTTTCAGAGCGCAAGGGGGTGGTATTTCAAGGGAACCAGAAGGAGGCCACTTAGTTTTAGGGTGCCAGCTGGAGAGACACCAATCTGGTGAGCGCTTGCGGACTCGCCGATCGCCGCAGCCGATTCCAATCGTCTGCCCAATTTCCACTTGACGTAGCATTTACCATGCGCCCGCAACTTTTCAGCACTTGATTTTGATGCCAAATCCGGCGCAGGGTGTGTTCGCACTATGGAAGTGCTTTGAAAAAGACTCGCCAGAAGGTACGGCAGCTGCAACTAGCATGATCCTGGTGTTTTTGGCTTTCCTTCAAAAAGAAATGGTGTTTAGAGGTCTATGCACGTGGACATGCGACTCATCCCTGGGGTTCGGACTGCGTTCCCCCTGGCACAAGACGATCATTAACGACAAGCAACGCATGTGACGTGTTTGGTCAATCCAGCAAGAGAGTGGTTTGTGTCGCTAAGCATGTTTGGACCTCAAACGAGATGCCTTGTCGATGTCAAAAATCTTGGCAAATCTTGTTGGGCAGGATGCCAGCTATTGTCATAGCAAGCGGAAAAAGGTTGTTCATCAAAATGTGTCCCTGCTGTGGATGGACAAAGTTGCGCACCATTTGAGATGGATGTAGCGCTATGAGGGTACTCGGATAGACCTCCTTCAGCTAGTACAAGATTTTGCCCGTCCACCGAGTGAGAGTTTACACAAACACACATGCACCAACATGCCGCCTGCTGAATGCTGCCTTGATTCGAAGTTCTTGGCAAGGTCAGTAAGACAGCAAGTCTCGGCTTTGCACCAATGATGGAAGTCTTGTCGTTTTCCCAGTCAGCATCTTTTTGGGAGAGTATTGGCGTGCACCAAACAGTTTCGAGTTCATCTGGGGCCAATCTACTCAGGAAGTGAGGCAATGAGCCATTGGAGGTGCTGGGAGTTGGGAATTGCCATACGTCCCCACTAAATTATGCTAGGTGAGTTTAGCGCAAGACTCCTTTGCTTACTTCTCCACATCTGACCTTGGAACTTTTTAGGGCACCTGGAAGACTACCTAAGAGGGGTTGCAAAACCCTGTGAGTCCATTTCCCCCTACCCTTTGGAATCCCAAAGTAAAATGATTGGTTACCTACTTTAGTGGCAACTGAACTCGGCTCCACTAGAAAAGTGCCAACTTTTGCCTCCCAAGGATTTGGGGGGTGACAGTTTGAGACGAGCCCGGGCACCAAAATATCCCGTCTCGCAACGAGAGAAGTTCCTGCAAGCGCCGCCCAGGTTTTTGGCGTGTGGGTGCCTTGATTGCACTCGGCGCCAGCCACCCGTTCCGAAGATACTTATATGGGTCAAAATTGAACCACTAGGGGACCGCAGGTTTTAGTCCATGTTTCCATTTACGAGGGTCGATTTCGGGTACCTATTTTTGACCCACATCCATATGACCAACCCTTGGAATAGTCTTTTTGTTTCCCATCAGCCTTTACTCTTGTACCGATCGGGTCGACTGGGAGCAACCCATTTGGATCGTGCGAAGCGACAAGGGGTTGGAGCTCATGTACGTTGCTCTTACGTTGTTGGTTTTCTTTCGAGGCCCACGTGAGCCCATTGCGGGCCTGGGGGGTTGCGTTGGAGGGAATGATTGGTATCACAATGGACCAAATGTCCCAACAGCTCTGCGGAGAAGGTTTTGGTTTGGTTTCTTCATACCTTTAACGAAGGCACAGGACAGCATAGACACTACTGGTACTTTGGGCCGCTCAAACTCAACAGGTCAAGGTGTTCCTGCCGCTTTTGGTTTAACGGGAATCTATCACTATTGGAAGCATTATTTGTTTTTCCAGGGGACTCAAGCAAATGGAGGCTTTGGTGTAGAAAGATGCGTACCATTTTGTTTAAAAGACATCCTTTAAATCTACTGGTCATCGTTTAGCTGGACAAAATGTAGCGCTTACCCTCCTGCAAAATAAGATGCCCTTGAGCATCGTTGGACCTTGCGTTGGACGGATTTGGATGGCCACTGGAAAGGTTGGAGGTCCCAAGATTCGTAGGGTCGTAGGGTGTGCAAGATTGTGCAAGTTTCAGAGACCCGGAGACCTTGCAGCCTTCTCCAAAGACCCAACCAATCAGGCTGGGCCATTTCTTTCGCATTCACCAACCATGACGCCGAAAGGTATGATTTTGGGCACCGCTTTTGCCTCATGAGGCCAGTCACAGCCTTTTCGGACCCCTCAAAACGGGACCGCTCGCTGAGGCTGGTTTTGGCCAACGGCGCCCGGCACAACCTCGCGCCCCACGCGGCGGCCATCGAAGCGCAGATTCTGAAGGCGAGGGAAGCCACCCGTTGCCCAGTGGCACCCGTTTTGGGTGCCGCCTTTCCTGCTGGTTTCCGCAAAAAACCCACCAACAACGGGGTACTCTCAAAAAAGACGCACCCTTTTCTCATTTGTTTCTTCTTTTTCTGGGAAGCTTTGTGGTTTGTGGACCCCTTTGCTTGTTTCATGCTTGAGTTTGTGGGATATGTCTAAACACCAAACTCAAGTCTAACAGTCACGGGGTACCAGTATAGCTAGGAACTGCCAAGAAAGAGCTTCCCTTCAAAATACACAACAAAGAAAGGGCGCCCTTTTTTCACATGGTGGGCTTCTGAGCTATACAGAGAAACGGCTTCACTGGAAAATGCTCACAGCAGGCAAATCAATGGTTTGTTTGTCAAGGTATGCACACTGTTCCTGGAGCGATTCAGATAGATGTGGCTTTGCGTTTGTCAATAGTATGATTGTCATGTCATATGCACAAAGTGTTTGGAGTATTGCAAGTTCAAGGCATCAACAGCAATGGTTCTTAAGGGTGACGCTGGAACATTGGATTGTGAAGGCACATGAATTCATGGTTCTCACAGGTACAGACAATGTTCCAACTTCCAATGTTCAAGGCATGTAAATCGATGATTCTCAAAGGTTTAGGCGCACTGTTCCTAAGCATTGAATATTCAAGGGTTCACGTGCCCCCCCCCCCCCCCCGGCTCCTTGTTTACGCCTTGGTCCTCCTTTTTTGTGGGTCCTTTGGGCAGAAGAAAGGAATCGGTCCTTTGATCCACGTAAGAAAGCGCGCCCTTCAAGCCTCGTCATGGAATGTTGGGTTTGCCATGGCAACTATACAATGGTGATTACCCCTTTCCCAGTGCGGCCATAGATGGCACCAGTCTTCATTGTCCATCTTGGTTTAGCCATCCCTGTTACTTACATGCGGAGAATTGTGCCATCTACCTTCACCCTGGTGTGTGGAACCAACCTGGATTTGGCTATGGGTCTCAAAACCAATGGTACCATTTTGGGGTGGGTGCACCACTCATTTTAGTCAATTTTAGTGGGGATTGGGATGTTCACTGGCGGTACGATTTGGTTTTTGCCCCATGGCCATTTGTTGCCAAAATGTGCTGCCTTGCCCCAGGCGGCTGATCATGTCGACCCCACTGTCCGTTACGACGAGGAGTGGTTCGAAGGCCACTGCCGCTCGACTGAGAAGCGAGGCACCTGGACCGGGTGGACCGCTTTGGCCGTTTCTGCCTTTGTACCCCTTGGAATGTGGGTCCTTTGGGCAAAACACGGGGCCTGAAAAGGCCAGGCGGCAACTATGCAGTTTGGACTTTTTGTTGGGTCATCACCGCAGGAAGTGAGACAAAACTGCAAGAAACCGGCGAACCAGGCAAGTCTTAAGGAACCTAGCCATACTGCTTGTTTTTGAGGGTATCTCAACTAGTCTGTTTGCCCCTTTTGCCCTTTCAACCCGCACATCAGCAAACAGTTACCGCTTTGCAGGGGGTCGCGCAAGCTACATACACCTTCAGAGAAAAGAAGCTAGGGCTTGTCCTCCAAAGGAATCTCAGCGACTAGCATGGCGCCTTTCTGGGTTCCAAGTCATTTGCATTGCTTTGGGTTCAGTTATGTCAACCCTTGATGGATTTCAGACCATGACTGGCGTCTCCTCCAAATTCATTTTATATTTTGGGCTTGACTAGAGATGAAGCAGCATCTGCACATATGATGAAATTATTTTGTAACCTTAAACAGAAAAACAACAAAAACACAATGTTGGGTCTATAATCCTTGTAACCATTGTTGGGTCTACTACCCTAGACTTGGGGTTCCAAGACCTTTGGCCGAGTTTTATAAACTTCGTCTCTCTTTGCCCTAGGCGACCTCTCGGAGTTCTCGCAAGACATGCTCTTCCTGGGCCCCGAGTTCCGGCTCAGCCGCCTGGCCGATCCCCTATGCCCCCTGGAAGCGGGGGGGGGGGGGGGTTCTTCAGGCCTCCATCGCCCATGTCCAAGGTCCCTTAAAGACATACTTGGGTGTGTCTTTTTTTGGGGGGACTCCTCCAAAATGGTGGTGTCCTTTTGTGTTCCCTTGGAAACCACCCAAAAAACAGGTGCCCTGAAAAAAACATGACTTTTTTTTGGGCCAATGAAAGAATCACCTTTGGCTCAAGTAGAGGATTCGAATCCGCATGGAAGATCACATGGTGTTTGGCTGCAACCTTGTTCAAGGTTCCCTATAGTTATTCCCTCGTGCGGATTTCAACATCACCTGGGCCCAGAAGTGAGTGTCCTTGATGCGGAGTGATGCCCAAGGCGGAAATATGGGGCCCGTGTTTCGTGACAAACTTTTTGGCAAGACAATTTTCGCGGTAAACAAGTTGTTTTTGGGCCACCCACTCGAGAGTGACCTATCACTGAAAAGGGGGACTTTGGACGAGGTGGGTCGTTTGCTTTCTTTCGGGGAGAGTCTGGGCAAATGAAGTTGCACCCTCGCAACGTGTGTTGGTTTTCGTGATGAACATTCCCTTCAGGGCTTCATTAGGTTTGATCGGTGATTGATCACAATTGGCATTGATTCACCTCAAAAAGCCAAGCTTAAGGTAAGAGGGCCTTCCCTGAATCCCGACGTGCTTGCAAGACGAGGTTCGGGGAATCAACCGGAGAGTTATGGTATGGGAGACCAGCCACCAAAGGGCCTCAACATGGCGTTGGATCATGGATGGGTCGAAAACTGTGAGCCATTTGCATAGACCATCTGCAAGGGACACCGGAGAAAACCCTTCACCAGGGGCTCATGGCATGCTCTTGCGCGATTCGCATCCACTTTCAGGTCACGGGCTGGGTCAGAAGATCGCTTGCGAATCACTGGGATTTGAAAGGGACCGATCCCGTTTTTTCCGCCTTTTCACTTGCCACCTTTTTTATGCGTTTGTTGGGCAGAGAAAGGAATCGGAGGGACACAAAAATGGAGCCGTGACCATGACCCGCGGCAGTTTCGAGAGGTAAGCGTCCCACGGTGGATGCTCATCGCTGGCATCCAGGCTACAAATGCGCGGCGGCCCGGAAGAGAAGATTGAGAGCGGCCGGACGTTTGTTACGCTACCCAGCGGTAGTCCTTCGCCATTGTGTCATTGGTTGTTAAAGGGCGACTTCTGAATTTCCCTGAGAGTCTGGGCTGGACCCCAGACAATGCTCTTCCTTTTGCCTACACACCAAAAGAGTGGTAGAAAAGGCAGGGGGAGGTCCATTCGAGGCAACAAACGACCCGTTGAACCGAAACCGTCTCGCTCCACTCGCGAGCCGCGAGCCGTTTCAGGCACCGAAGATGGTGCCGGGCGCGCCCCGCGCGGGAGCCCGGGCTTTGGGATGGGCGTTTCGCCGCAGGCAACCCGTCGCCAGGTTCCTTTTGGAATTGAAGGGCGGGACATTTTTTGGGGGAGACGGGGAAAATGGAATCAATCACTTTAGGGTAGAACTTAGGACATGGACAACTTAAGACGTAGGGGTTTGTTTGTCATGAAACATTCCAACCCACCATAAAGAAAAAACAACAACAACTGATTTTTGGAGAAGCTTATCCCCAACACGTCCTGCTCTTAGTGACTGCATCTCCGCTTAGATCTTTTTCAATCAAATGGCGTTTCCATTACACCCACAACAGTTCAGATTTGCTCACAACCCAGACTTGGCGGTGAGATTCACTTTGGTTCTATCCGACATGGTAAGTCTCCCGAGACGTGAAGCCTTTGCAAAACAAGCCTTAAAAACACGGGCACCCTTCAAGAGACGAACTCAATGTACACTCTCGCTGACTCACCCTTTTTTGAAGCTTCACGTCAATAGGGGAAACAAAGCATTTCTCGGGGTGACTTCCCCATTCTCAAGGACACCTTTCAAGTGAACCTTTTTTACCAGAAAGCCAACCAACCAAAGGATCTGCACAAGAAGCCTGGTTGGAAAGAGGGATGGGCATCAATCCTTTTTTTTTTTGCCAGGCATGATGTCAGTTTCTTTTAGCAGCAAACAAGGGGGCAAGACATATCAAAGAATGGCACATCTGCTTGAGATTGCCTACTTGGTCCACCCATTTCACGATTTCACGGCTGAGGGAGTTTGTCGAGATCAGCGAGGAGTTTCAGTGCGCGGAGAGGCGGGTTGTTGGTTTGTGCGCGCTGTGACCGCAGCTTCACCAAGGCATTATGTTGGACCCTTTTGCGCTTCTTAGCTGTTTAGTTTTTAAAGTGGACCAAGCATGTGCTTCACTGTGTCTTGCCAGTGAAAGGGGCAGGCCTTTTTGGTTGACCTGTTGCGACCCCCTTCTTACTTCAACTTCCAAATAGGCCAGCAAGTCTTAAACGAAGCTTTGTTTCTATAGCTAGTCAACTTGAGAGTTGAAAGCCAACCCTTTTGTGACCTCCAGATTGCCTGTTCACTTTCCAAGGCTTCAACTTGTTGGCTGGTTTCGGCAAAGCTCAACTCAGCAGGTCAGCCTGGGCAAATGAAGGCCTACGTGATGACCTCACCAAAACTCCCTGGGTTTTGGGAATTTGTTTCTTGCCTATATACTACTATTATACCCGGAAGCACTGGGAAGGATTCGTGTAAAACATGCAGAAGCCGACGCTTTCTTGACCTGTACGGAAGCGCTGAACCTATTCTTCACTAATTCGCCAGTTGGGATGTTGCAAACAATGGCCCTGAGAAGTTTCTCTGGGCACCGGACCCCCGATTCCGCTTTGTTTGTTTGCCTTACCGAATCCATTTTTTGGTAGGTCCTTCGCGCAGGACAATGGACTCGGTCCCTTTTGGGCGTGCAGTTGAGTCGATTCCCCGGAAAAAAAAAAAAAAAAAAAAAAAAAAAAAAAAAAAAAAAAAAAAAAAAAAAAAAAAAAAAAAAAAAAACAGCTGCCAGGTGCTGGGAGACAGCGCGGAAGGTGCCAGGAACGGTGGTGTGCTGCGAGCATCACCAGGACCGATGTCTCTGCTTGGAATCCACTTCGCTGTTCTTGGCATCTTGGTGGCCCTGCTCCATAGTTTGTTTGCTCTTGTTTTTGCTTCTTTTCTCTTTTTTTTTGGGGGGGAGGGTGAAAGAAGAATCTTTGTTGCCAACACGCTTGAAGCTTTACAAACTTTGATTGGTATGGTAGGTAAATTCTCAATGCCCAAAGGGTGCGTCTTGGCCCAGAAACGCCTACTTCCCTCTTGAAATGCCCGGCGAGCCGGGACCGAAAGTCCCTTTCGTTCGGTGGGGTGGTTCGCCACATGCTCGTTTTGCTCAGCGAGCTTTTGGCAGAGTGTAGGTTTTGATGTTGCTATTTGAGGAAATGATGGGATAGCCATCAAGACTGTTTTGCACCAGGAGTGCTTGTTTGGCTCAAAGGCAGACAAAGAGGGGGCACGTTGTCAAGGGGATCCTTTAGCTTGGATCACCAGATTCGTTTGTCGTTTAATGATATCATTCTCCCTGAAGCATTGATAGCGCCGTCCGTGTTTCCCATTCTTGTTGTTCGAGGGTGGGATGGGACTCTCTTGAAACTCATCCTTCACCAAGGGGCGCCTTGTTCGCACTCCCAGTGATTCCATTTCACTGCTTCGGCAACCAGGGGGGTCTGAGCCTCCAATTTTACAGGCTAAAAGTCGAACTCCCTCCTCCTGAGTTCCCTTACTTTGTACTTTTCTTGAGCTGGCAACCAACAAGCCACGGGAATTTTTGGCAAATCCACTCGATGGGAAGCGAGAAATGACGGGTGGATTCTTTCTCCTGGGTCCAAATCTGCGTTTGCAAGGACAAGTCTCGGTGCGAGGTGCGAGTGGGCTGGCAGTCCATGCAGGAGTCAGATTATGGGAAGCGGCTTGGATGAGAAGCGATCGAGGTCCCTGAGCCCATGCTCTGGTCTCCAGGCACAGCAGCTGGTCTGAACATCTTAACTTCTTTGCACCCCAGATGTGACCTCATGAATCCTGCCATTGAGTATATAATATTGTGGGGTTACGAGTGCACATTTGGGCCACAGAAAATGGGGTACAGTTACCTGAGTCACTGAACCATGGCTAATTGGATTTGCTTGCTCCCAACCTTTTGATTGACCTGCAGCCCAAAGAAAGCTGGGAGCGAAACAACCATAGAGCACACGAGCAAACAAGCCTGGCAACCAGCTGTTTCTCCAGATCAAGCCCCAACAAAAGCACACAGGTGCCATGTTCAGAAGAGATGGTTACTTCGGGTAGGATATTGATAGACACTTTCGGGATTTTCGAGGTTTGCTTGGTGAGACATGGTTCTTGGCCCACAGGAGTTTGGGCATGGCAGCAAGGTACCTGGCATTGTTTCCTAAAGGCGGGGTATGTGTTGACCTTGTGTAACATGCCCACTGCTTGCGTATATCAAAGGAGGCAAACCAAATGAACTCAGCCAAGCTCCCCAGATGTGCTTATTAGGAGCCACCCGAGCGGGAAAGTTTTTGTTATTAGGGTCTCCAATAGGTTTCCTTCGTTCCCTTCGTCAGGTCTGACTCAAAAGTTGCGTTCTGAGCGATGGTTTGCCTCAAACCAATGGGGTGCCTTGCGGGAGAGGCTTTTTTTATTCAGGTCTCCATTAGGTTCCCTAATAAAGTCTTACTCAAAACTTAATTTCTGAGCGGTTGTTTCTTTCAATGGATTGCCGTGCGAGACAGGTTTTTGATTAATAGGGTCTCAATTAGGTTCCCTTCATAAGGTCTTACACAAAAGTTGAATCAAAGGGGTCCGTCTTTTCCAATTGGAACCCAATACTAAACAAAAAATCTGAAACAGTTCTGGCCAAAAGCCCGGGGACCCTAATGGCAAGAACCCTCCGAGGTTCTTTTTATTTGGGGGAGGGGGAGGCCCTTTATTAATAAAGGGACAGGATTACTTTTGCTGTCCCCTTCCAGGCGAGCGACTCTCGTAGGTATCCAGGGAAACGCATCCATGATAAGTCCTGTTAGTTAAGAAACCCGACAGGTTATTTAGTGCCGTGCATCGACGTCCGCGATTTGGAACCAGCGAGTTTGGTCAGTTGGGAGCCTTGCAAACAGAACTTGGCAACCCCGCTAGCTTCATTTGGGTTCTTCCGCGCGTAATTGTAGCCCCGGCAGCGATGGCGGGACCAGCTGGAGGTGACTCCAAAACGGAGTCACTGCTTCCTCAGACGCAGCGCACCACATGCTGTGGCGGACTGACGCGTGATTGCACCAAATGGATTCAGTGGCGGAATGCTGCCGGAAGCACAGGTTCCCGTGTGCCGTGGCAAATCTTGTGCTCCTTGCTGCTGTTTGTCGAGATGGTGCCCTACTTCAAGTGGGTCCAGCAGACTTGGGTACTTGAAGTCATTGGGTGTGTCTTTGTCATGAAGTGCCTTGTCGAGACACAGCTGCATAGTGGCACCCTTTCGTCCTCTTTGGCTTTGTGATGTCCCTTGAGAATCACCAAGCATGCCACTGCCAGGAGATTTGGGGGCAATCTACACCGACTTGGGTGTGCCCGGGAAGCGTGTGCATGTTGATTGTCATGTACGTCCTCATCATCCCTTCCATGTCTGGTATGTACGGCTACTGCACAATGACCTCAGATATCCAGTTCAAGGCACTATTTGAAGATATTTGAAGAAGATCCTGGTTCCTTTTCAAATGGAAACCACATGGAGGTCGCTTGGAGACTGGTTGTTGCAACAGTGGCTGTTTACACAACAGCTGTTTAAGCAATATGTTGTTCAAACATATGATGCGTGCGTAAACAGCTTTTGTTCACACCACGCCTGTTTACACAGTGTGTGTTCAAACAGCAGTTGTTTGAACCATGTGTGCATATGTGTTAACCGTGTTTAAGCAAGGCCCACCCCGGCTAGGGCCGCAGCATCGTTGGTTTGCTCCTTTACTTCGGCGGCTCCTCCTTCTCATTGACCTATGAGCTGGGTCGCTTCCGATGGAAGGCGCCACTGGGGGTTCTCCATGTTCGTCTCAGTCCCTGAGTTCTTGGATGTCAATACTTTTGAGACCAGATGGTGTTGATTATGTTTCTTGGAAAGCGCAATTCGAGAGTGAGCAGCACATCATAATTTGGGTCTTCCTTAGGCAGGGGATTGTTGTTTCAACCCACTCTCTCGCAGCCAGGCGCTGCCGGAAAACAAAGGCAAGCTTCACACAGTGGGCCTAGCAGCAGTGTGCCCCAGCTGCAACCAGAGGTGCTTCCTTGTTTCCGTTGTTGGGGGATTAGGTGTTGCCTTCAACAAGTAAACCGTTCCATTTTAAGCCCGGCAAGTTGTTTGGCGCGCTATCTTCAGTTGCTTTCAAACCAAGCTCGACCAAATCAACCAGAAAAGGGGATCCATCAGGAGGGCTTGCAGCAACCCAACGAGGAACCCAAAACGGGGTCCTCCCTTCAAAACAGATGCCTTGCAAGTGAAGCTTTTCGGGGCTCCATGTTAGCCAACGGGACCAGGGGGGAGGGGGTATCAAAAGTACCACTTAGTGCGGTTGCCTTTGATACTGGTAGCAGAATGCCCTAATTACAGACACCCCGAAAGACCCCTCCCGGGCAGGCGACAATGGGGGGGGGGCAAACAAGGTCAAGTAGAGATGGAGTCCTTCGGGGTCCTTTTGGGAAATGAGACGATAGTCGGTGTTTCAACGTCTGAAGCAAGGCCCGGTGTTTTTAAGGCAAACCACCAAGCACCCGAGAGTTTCTGTACAGAACATGCACTGAGGTGCATTCATCCCAACTACCTGGGCGACCTCTTCACCTACACCGGCTGGGCCCTGGCATGTGGCACCACCTGCGCGCTCAGCATTCCAATCTTTATGCTTCCCAACGGATTCCACCCGTTTTTCCTTTGCTTTTTTGATTATTTTTGGGGTTAGGGGCTTTGGTGGTGGTGGTGGTGGTGGTGGTGGTGGTGGTGGTGGTGGTGGTGGTGGTGGTGGTGGTGGTGGCGGTTTCCCTGAGAATCAACTAGCACAAGATGTGTTTTGTATTTTTCTCAAGTTGTGTTGTTTGCTTTTGGGTCGGTTTGGTTTTTCCGTGTGTGTGTGTGTAGTTGTCCTTTCTTGTTTGTTTCTTTTGGGGGGGGGGGGTGCTGTAAAGTCAACCAACAAACCAAGAAGTGCTGCCGCTTAATATATGTTGGAGTAATTGACGCCAACCGGGTGCGTCTTTTCTTTGGAGGACCCCCCTAAAATGGTGGTTTTCCTTTGGGCTTCTTGTTCCACCAACCAAATAAAGGGATTCCCGAAAGAAGAAAACGAGACACAGTTAGATAATGATTTTTGTCATGGGAGATGCGCGAGAGGTTTTGGTGCTTCGTGATATTTGTGGTGCCCAACTCGGACTCCTACCTGGCAGAGCGAGACTCGGACTCGGATCCAACCTTGACCCCCATCTCCCATGAACATGGAGCCCACGAGACTCTCCCAAAGCGCTATGGAGTCGAGGCATTCCCATTTGGGTGTGTCTCAAAATGGAAAGCGGACCCCCAAAATGGCAACGGTTTTCTTTTGGTTTGCCTTGAAACCACGAAGCACCTTTAATTTCCAAGGTGTTTTTTTTTGCCTGAACAGTATTTAATCCATGTTTAGTCAAAGTCCCAAATTGTTCACCCACCAGCTTTTTCTTTCGGTCTTCTCACTTGCACAGTTCTTTGAACCATTTTCAGTGAAGCCAGAAGGCAATCACGTTCTCAAGTCCTCAGGTTACAAAGAATTCCCGGCCTATGCGGAGAAGACCGCGCCCTTGATCCCGGGACTTCGGTCTAAGGTGCTCACCCAGTTGCCAGACTTCAAGCTTGGACCTTCCGCCCTCGGCTTCACGAACTGTAGACCATGCTGTCTTTCCCACTTTAACTATTGTGAGTCAAGAAAGACTGTACTTTTTAGGAATATGTTGAAGCGAGCTCTAAATGAGTTTATAGTAAAATGCCCTGCGACCTGTTACCCTTTGGCCCTTGTGCCTTTTTTTCCTGAGGGGTGCATCCCGTCGGGGTTTCCCTTTTGGTTCTCATTTTTGGCTCCCTTATTCCCCACACGACAGGTTTGGGGTGATAGATTTTAAGTGACATCCGACCGCCACAACCAGCCCGCCCGCCGACAGAGCCTGTGACAGACAGCTACGACAGAGCCTGTGACAGCCGCCCGGAGTCTGACCGCCGGTGGAGTGGCCGGGCCAGGACGGCCCTCAGTTCAAAGCTGCCAGTCCGCCGTGACAGGCCGAAGCTTGCGGCCAGTGGCCGCTCAACTGTCCGAAGACGCTGATGTGAGTTTCGCAGAACCAGGTTTGCAAGCGCTCCAAGTAATTTGCCGACAAGTCGCGCTGCCTTCCCGGCATCTTCCTTTTTGCTTCTGCGGCCTCTTGGCTGCAGCGTGTCGTTGGTGCTCAAAGATGTGCCGGCTTGGGTGTTGGTTTGACAACGGTCGAGGCGGCAACGCAATTGCGCCTCCAGAGGGCACGCGCGTCGCACGCAGAAAAGAGCCTGCAGCCGCTGCAGATGCGCGGAGCCGCAGGACCAGGATGAGGAGCTGCTTTGAGCCAGAGTGCCTTGAAGGGAATCTCCACCAAACAGACAGCGTGAATTCGGTAGCTGCTTTTGATTAGGGGTCATTGCTGGCTTCGTTGCGTTTCTGTTTGACTGAGATTCTTTGCCGTCGCATCAGCCATCAGCATGCTTGAGGCGCTGCGAGCAGTCGGCCTGACTTGCTGGCGCCGGTGCAGTTGCAGTCTAGTTTTCTTTAGCCAGGCGAATTTCTGAGTTGCGGATTGTTCAAAGTAAAGTAAGCATTGCGAGGCTAGCTCGCCTTCTTTCATTTGGATGTCCTCCAACTTGGGCCATGCGAAAATAGAGGGCCCCGTCAGAGCAAGCTAGCTGGCTGCATCCTTTAACTGGCAGGTTCTCAGTACGAAAACCCCTTTTGATTCCTTGTCGCGCCAGCAAGTTAAGGAGCCCTGTGTCAACAGGGGTCCCACGCTATTTCACTTTGTGGTCGTAATCATCACCCTTTTGGGTCCATAGTTGGGCTTCCCTTGGTAGGGGCAATGTTTTAAGGGTCTCTTCAACCGGCAGAATCGCTTCGCTTTCAGTGGGGATGGCCAAGGACAGTGGGCTGGCTGTGCATGATGTATTGCATCTACTTGTGGCTCAGCCGCCTCAGTCGCACATTTTCGTTTTTGAGCCTGTTGCGCCGCTTGGGAAAACATTTTTGCACTATTGAGGATGGACAGAAATCTGCACCAGCGGTATGTGTATGGCATGGCCTCTTGTTGGGCTTGTTTCTGTTGCCATAAAACCTTGGCCCTTAGGTCGGATCCGTGAGTCATTGGCTGCCATTTGATCGTAGGACCTGCATGGTGGTGTTCCTTTTAGTTGCTCGTTCAAGGAACTTAACCAATCCCACAAAGGGCACCCTTAAGAAACACACCCAAATGGAACCCTGTCACCTTTTGTCCTTTGAGCACACCCTTTTGGCATTTAAAGGAAAACAATAAGAACAACTCATCATTTTAGAGACCCGATTTCAAGAACCCCCCAAGCCTCTTCCTTTTGATTCAGAGGTGGACCTACTCCTGCAGCGCTCCTTGTGGATACTGAGCTATTCGCGCCAATGCGCGGGCATTCCCTGACCTCCAGTGGATTGCGCTCTTCCGATGTTTTTTTTCCGACATGGCTGTCAGTCCCTTTTTTGGGTTGTTCTTAAGGGGAAACCAAGGGAAACCGATGCCCCAAAATGGCCCATTTGGAGGCAAACCCAAACGGGTTTGGGATATGGCTATTAAGGTCAAAAGTGGTTGGGGTATAGGAATCCCCTACATGGATGTGCACCAAAGGGTCCTGAATCAAAGTTCGTGTCCACATGTTTGTGAGGGCTTTGCCCCCCTGAAGCATCAACCCACACAAAGGTGATTTTGTTTGGAGCTCCAATCATGGGCGCAATTCCACAGGCGGGAAGCTTTCATTTGAAGGCGCATCGATTTCTTCCTGCCCTGCAGAATCTGCAGGACAAACAATGCCATGGTCAAACCACCCCACGGGGGCTCTCCAAAACGGCTCTCGTGAATAATATTCTGAACATATCAGTTTCAGTGGAATTCCCCCAGACGCGGGTCAAGTTGATTCATGGCACATCCGCTACCATTTCCGCTGAACATGACCTTTTTGCCCTTTACTCAAGTGATGATGAATGTAAACAAATAAACAACTCCTAGGTATAAGGTTGAATTTTGTCCACAAACAAGGGAACATGACCACCTGCAGCCGGAGAGTTGACCATGGGTCAGGCGCTAGGGAATCTGGTTCCCGCTGAGACCGTATACCCGACCAGAGAAATCGGGGTGTGTCTTTTTGAGGGTACCCTTTTAAAGTCTGGTTTAAAGGGAAGCCAAAAGGTACATCCAGTCTTCCGGGACACCAAGTCTGGTTCCGTGTCAGTGGGTGCCAGGGTTGTATGATTTAGCCAAAGTGGCGCCCCAGCCTTTCACAAAACTGAAGGAAGCCACATGGAACGGGGTTCCACTTTTTGACCGAATCCAAGGTAGACTTAAACCCAGGTGCTTGATTTCGGATTTCGGCCAGGGAACCTCTTCATTTTCAGTCTAGCTTGTCAAAAAGTGAAACCCTGATTCGAGTGACCGGCTATACCCGAGACGTGGGCTAAATTGATCTGACCGTCGCTTCGGCGTTTCGCTGCTTTTTGGCTTGCGGGTTCATGGCTTCAAGCTGGTCTCGCAACCTAGCCGTGAAGACCTGATTGCTTGAGGTTTGGGGATGGTCATCAATGCCTAGTGGGGAGTTGAGACCACCATGATGAGAATTCCACAACCATGGCCCGGACCACAAGGAGCTTTCATCATGGCACAACGCGGACCCGCAACACTTAAAAGGTGCACCAGAGGGATAGCTCACCTACGTCGGTTCTTGGTGTGTTCTTTGACTATTTTGAGTGTTTGTTGTCCCTTTTGTTTAGCAGCAGACATTTGAGTTTCTGTAGGGTGTCCTTGGTCTAAGTCTGACCAAGTGCTTAGGCATTTGGCAGGCGACCATTGGCTGAGCTCGACGGAAAGAGGGTGACCTGTTCATTTTCCCAGTGTTTAAGGGGTGCGATTTTGGTTGCCTACCCTACGGAGAAATGGAAACACAAGTGGGAGGGGGTGGTCCGGCTTGCGCCGAGGAATAAGCTGAACCCCGCCAACTGGGCGTTGTTTGGCCGACATCAGCTTCCTGGCCGCAGAAATGAAGTGGCCAAATCAAGAGAAAACCACCAACTCCACTTTGGAGTGTCCAACTTGCCAAGCAAACGGGCTTGCTCGCTTTTCGTGGGTGTAGCTAATTTGGGGCTATGTTTCAGGGAAATCTTAAATCGAAGCCAGTCTGGTGGATGCCCCCTCATTGGGAGTTGCCTTTGGTTTTGTTCAACCCCATACAGGTTCCTTGCACCCATTGGAAACCAAAAGGAGACCAAGCATGTGAGGCATGTCAGTTTCACTGCCTGGTCCAGCCTGGTTTCTATTGGTTTGCAGTAAGTGGTAAATAAACCTTCAAGGAAAGGAAGCTTCGAAATAACTTCCGTTGTACTGGAGCCAACTGAGATAGCTCTCACTCTAAGAATGCATGCACTTGCGCAAGATCTTTAAGACTAAATGCACTGCACGTGAACAAGCTACGCAGAAGCTGGACAAAGCGAGAACTGGACTCGGAGACGCGCCCAGTGGCACACCCGCGCGAGTGCGCTTCAGTCTTTGGGCGGGTCGATCCGCAAAAGTTTGGGTGTTTCTTTTACCATAGAAAGAGGAAAGAGGAAGACCAAAAGAGAAAGATCGACAAAGAGAAAGAGACAGGGAGAGACAAGGATAAATTATCAGAGAAAGAAAAACCATAAAGAGAAACAACATTAGACAGAAAAAGAGGAAGAGAAAAGGGAACAATAAGCGTGCTCCAAACGATTTAGGCAATAGTTCGTGTATGTTTGACACGCCCGCAAGCTAGTTTACGAGCATCGGCTCGGGTTTGGGGCATTGCTCATCAGGAAGAAGGCGCGGCTCTTCTTTTCACCCCCCAGCACCCACGAGAACCACCGCTACGTGCCCCAGTTCGCAGCTCGGAGTGGCGAAGAGCTTAGAACGCGGTTTGGTGGTTTGGCGACCAGCGAGAACTGAGCCCTGTTCAACACACAAAAGCTACCCCCTCAAACCTGGCAGCGCCTTTTGGGCCCAAGAGGACCTGTTTCCGCCCTACCCCTTTTGAGTCCCCCCTCCAGTTGCATCCTGGATCGGTTTGCCCCAGGAGTCCTCCAGCGGTGTCAAAGTTCTCGCCGCACCGTTGCCCATGGATCGGATCCGTTCCTTCAAGCCTGGAGAAAAAATGTGGTTTCTACACAGAACGATGGGTAAAGATAAGAAGTCACCCTGGAAAGAACGCCCACGGGAAAATGAGGTTTTTAAAGAGAACCAGGGGTCAAGATGGATGAGAAGCCTGAGGAAAATGCCCCACAAGCTTGGGATCGGACGAAGGGGACTCTCGGTACCCCCCAAAATGATCCAACATGGAGTTGTTTTTGGTCCGTTACCCTTGAACGTTTTACCCTATACCGTCAAAAAATCAGACAGGTCGAGGCACATGTCCTTGCAAGTTCATCTAGTTGGCAGCGAATCTCGCGTGTGGTTCACATCTATCTCAGGAGAGCGAAGAAGTGCGGCAGGCGGAATCAGGCGGGTCATTTGTTTGCATATGGGCTGCCTATTTTACGACGAGTTCACCGATTCGGGGGTAAAACGACGATCTCATCATGATGAAGGTCCTTCACATTGTGATTCCTTTTTTTGTGCTTTGGTGGGAATAAAATGTATTAGACATTTGCAGATACGTGTGCTTTTTGGTGCCTTGACTTGAAGCCCCAAGTGAGCTCTGGTTTAGGTGGGCCTGTGGCATTTCATTGGGACCTGGAGAACTGCACGCCCTAAGAATCACCAGACTTCAAAATGTGTACTGTTGAGGTCCAAGCCCTTCCAGAAATCCCAACCTCTCCAATGGAGGGTCAATGATGCTTCGGGCAGGTTAGGTAGAACCCACTTCTATCCAAACGGTTGCTTAGAGAAATGTCGAGGTGGAGAAAGGGAAACCGTTGGCCATGTCGGCATGTGATCAGCCACTTTGATGGTCCCACTTGGTTCCAAACTTTGACGGGGCTGCTGGCTGCTTTTTGTTTGAGGATACCCGTTTTGGGATTCTTAAAAGGGGAGCCAAAGGGAGACAATCTATTTGGGATTGTTCAAAGGAAAAACCCATTTCCCCCACAGAAAGCCGGTCGCCTTTCTACAGTGCGAGCGCTGTTGGTCGCGGGGGCTGAATTTCTGAGCGTCCGTTTCGTCTTGAAAAGGGCTGGTTTTTACTCTTTGGAGCGAGGGGGGCTGGAACTCTGAGCCAATTTCTTAACCTTGTCTGCTAAAAAAACCAGCGGCTCAATTTCGTAGCGGCCTTTTCGGGTGATGAAGGACTCCTTTGCTGGAAATCCAGGGGCTCAAAATTTATTAGCGGCCTTTTCGGTCCCCTGTTCTGACCATCGGCTCAATTTCAACCCCTAAAATGCGCACGCTGGCAATTGAACCACTGCACCACCAACGGCCACTAAGAAATTGAGCCCCTGAATTTCTTAGCAAAGGAGTCCTTCATCACCCCAAACCCTTGCGCTGTAGTCGGGTTTTGTTGGCTTCGCTTTTGTCCTTGATCATCAAAATACCCAGCATATGGATCACTGCCGAATTGATTCAATAGACCAACCCGAAACATGGAACTCCACAGGACTGAGTTCCATGTGTTTGGGAGCACTTTCTGGAAAAAATGGGTGTGTCTTATAGGGCACCCCCCATCAATGTGAGTTTCCCTTTCAAACCGCCCCGCAAAAAGGGTACCGAGCCTCAAAGAATGACACACACCATTTGACTGGTTTTCCTCCAGCCCTGGGACAGCCAGAGTCAGACCGAGTCCTTAATTTGGCCAGGTCCCCCAGTAGTGCCCTTTTACCGTTTCCTTTTTTGGGGAGGGTTCCCCTACTAAAATAGACTACAGAAAAAAGGGTACCCCTATTAGGATGGTCATCAACTTAGAGGTTTTCGATTAATGTAAAGACTGGGGAACCATGGCCCGCGTTTTCGGGCAAGCCGAATCCGCCAGGCAAGCAGCACGTGCGGGAGCTCGCCAGGCAAGTGAATCACCTCTCCATCGAGCCTAGACCTTCCTGGGCATTCCACCCAAGGGACCTTTTTGCTGGACAACATTACGTTGTTGGCCCATGGAATGGGCGAGTATCCCTTGGTAGGAGGTGATGTTTATAGTGCGTACGTGGGCCCTCCTAAGTTGCATTTGTTGTGCTGTTTGGGCCAAATTTGGTGCAAACGACACATGTTGTTTGCCTCGCCGCGTTTTTGTGAATTTGGCTGTTTTGCGAAACCAGGATGAAGACGAAAAGGCGACGTTGCCCGACCCAAAGGCGACATTCCTTGACCAAAAAGCGACATTTGCCGACCACGTCACGTTCTGGCAAGATTTTGAAGCAGACATTTTAACAGGAAAAGGTTCTTTTTGGAGCAAACGACACAACATATTGCTTTTTCAGCAAGCGGCAGAAAAAATGCGCACCGCAAAGTCTATATATATATATATAGAGAGAGAGCTGGATTCTTTATCTCCACCCCAAGCATTAGGGACCCTCAATTGGGGAAAGGGATCCATCACGGCCTTGAGGTCACATTATTCTAGAAAGGGGCCTTTTCGTTTCCTGGGACCAATTGTCTAGCCTGACAGTGCCGAAAGGGAGCAATGATGGACGAGCGATTCATCTGCGGAGCGCTGGCGCACAAATACGCCTTTTCTTCTGTGCAGCACTCTCAAAAAGCGGCTTTTCCCGCGGCTACCTCAAAAGAATAATATTGGTGAGCCTAACGGGCTGGGAGCATGTTTTTGCTGGTTGGTTTCCTCTCTCTTTGGCTTTCTTGGCTTCCTGTGAGCCCCCATTTTTGACAGAAAATCTGTTTCCCAGCCCTTTCCTATACCGTAGCATCTCATAAACCATCCCCCATTTGACCCCCCTAACCCTGAAGACCTTATTTGGCCTTTTCCCCCCCCAGCCTCGCCCCCCAAGAAGGCTTGTTAACCACTCACCGTTGGGACAGTCTTTTGGGGTTGGTTCGAATGGTAGGGTGCTTGAAGAAAACGAGTCTCACGCGCTCGCGCACGCGCCTTTTTCTGAGGATGGGATCCTGGACCACATGTTGTCCTTCTACGTGTGCATGCGCTTCTTGCCAGACAAGGACAGTCCTAGCCGGATTGGTTCATTGGCAGACGATGAGTCAACCTCGCAGATTGATAGGGGGTGTTCCCTCCAAAAGCAAATTTTCTAAAATGAGACAGTCTCTCATGAATCCAACAAAAAAGCAACACCTTACCGCCAAAGACAAGTGCTTTCTGAACACGGAAATGCAAGGCTACTCAAACTAATGTTGAACCTTCAAGGCTTCATTCATGCTTGTGCAAAGCAGACACCCCATCCCGGTTGCCATTCGGCCTTCTGCTTGGCCAGACTCAAACTAAAGATGAATGTGAACCCACCAGGATTCTTCCCTGATCATGAGGTCATTTGTTTCAAACGCACCCATTCCACAGCCCATTCCAGTTATTTTGGCCAGCTTTGTCCTTGACCCCCCACTTTGGCCACTCTTTTTCTGCACAAACACATAACACCTAGGTCCCCCAGTAGTGTCCTTTTACCTATTTTTGGGGAGGGTTCCCCTTCTAAAATAGACTACATAAAAAGGATACCACTATTCTATCCTCTCTACTGGAGGACCTAGACACATACGGAATGTCTGGGAATCGGTCCGTTGGGGCGGTGAAAAGGCTCAGATCCGAAAAACTCGCCGCCAGGATTTCATGGATCTGGCCAAGTACGAGCTGGAAAGGGCGCGGGTTCGGGACGACTTTGGTTTGACGTATCGCCCGTTTCGGGGCCCTGTTTTCCAACCCGCCAGTTTTTTGTTTACTCCTGATGGCCGGAAAAAGCAGTGTGTGTTTTTTTGTATGTTTTTTGGGGTGCACTTTCCGGATGCTTTCATGCCTTTAAAATGGTGGGATTCCTTTTGGTTTCCCTTAGGGGTACCCTCAAGAGAGAAAACCCAAGTGTGAAGGAAGAGTATTCGCCCGTTGATTCCACTGATGAGCTAAATCGCAAGGGGAGCCATGGGGCTCCTGCATGGCCGGCCGCACTAGACTGCAATGGCATTTGTCAATGCGAGTCGGCTCTGAGTCAAGTGATTTCAGTCAACAAGCACTGGTTCTGGCTTTGCCCAACGAGAAGCTTAAAGCTATATTACCCAGTGCTTCCAGTGGCCATGGCAGGTAACCAGAGGAAGCTATCATGCAGCACCTAAAAGAATCCGGTTGCTGACCATAGTGGTAACTGGAAGCTCTGGGTTGGCAAACCGGGGAAGCAGCGGTAAGATAGGTCCAACTCGCCAAATTGCTTGAAGCACTAAAATAAGATTTCCAATTCTTCGGATCTTTCAGCGTGTTTTCAGAATAGTTTCCTGTAGACTTCCGAAAACCGGGACACCACAAAGGCCTTCTTGGGCCGGAAGGGCCTTGAGAACTTGGCAATCCACGCCTTGAAGGTGTTTTGGCACTGGGCAGACTACCTAAAAAGGGGGGGGGAGGGGAAGGCAGTAAGTTTGAATTTTATTTCCCGGAAAGTTTGGTGAAAGATATAGAGTTGAACTCCTGCCCGGGCTCGGCTTGGCCATGAATGCGCTCAATGAGGTCCACTAGCTTAGTTCGAGGTCCCGGGCGCAGTTTTGCCTTTTGTCAGGGACCCTATCCATACTGCAGCTCACTTCCGATCGAATTCCTGGACTTTAAACTTTTTGGGAAGACCGTTTTAGTGGTAAACAAAATGTTTGGACTTTGTCGGGCCCATCCCACTCAGGAAGCGAGGCAGTGGTGAAATGTCATAGTGGGCCCTATTTAGTCTTATTGGGCCCTAAGAAAGCCTGTTTACCAGTAAGTTGGCCTGTTTACTATATCCTGAATGCCTTCCCTTGATTGGTTTGCTGTAGGGAAGCATCATGAGACAACATAAATTACATTCCCCTGCTAGACAGGTGCTAAGAACCCAGAAGGCAGTAGCGTCTGAAGCTTTCCCAGTGTGCGGGGTGGGGAGGATAGCCTTTGGATTTGTCGGCTGCCAGACTCAGCTTCCTTTGGCTTTCTCAGAGCCAGCAACAAATTTATGCTTTCGCAGCTTCAATTCCAGGGTTTGAGCCAGGCCTTCGGGAGTGAACTGGTTTGTGTTTGGTTTTCAGGAATCCCTGGAAGTTACCCAGGTTTGTGGTAGGTTGTGGTTTTGGCAGTTGACGCTAAACAAACTGTGGCTGGATCCTTTGGGAGAGCAGTTGGTGTGTGTGTGTGTGCTTACGTGCGTTCGTGCGTGCGTGCGTGGGTGGGTGGGTGCGTGCGTTTTTGGGTGGGTGGGTGGGTGGGTGGGTGGGTGGGTGGGTGGGTGGGTGGGTGGGTGGATGGGTGGGTGGGTGGGTGGGTGGGTGGCTGGGTGGGTGGGTGGGTGGGTGGGTGAGTGAGTGGGTGAGTGGGTGAGTGGGTGAGTGGGTGAGTGGGTGAGTGGGTGAGTGGGTGAGTGGGAGAGTGGGTGCGTGGGTGCGTGGGTGAGTGGGTGGGAGGGTGTGTGTGTGTGTGTGTGTGTGTTTGTGTATGTTGCTGTGTGTGTTGCTGTGTGTTGCTGTGTGTTGCTGCGTGTTGCTGTGTGTTGCTGTGTATTGCTGTGTGTTGCTTTGTGTTGCTGTGTGTCTGTTTGTGTGTGTCTGTGTCTGTGTCTGTGTCTGTGTCTGTGTCTGTGTCTGCGTCTGCGTCTGCGTCTGCGTCTGCGTCTGCGTCTGCGTCTGTGTCTGTGTTTGTGTCTGTGTCTGTGTCTGCGTGTGCGTGTGCGTGTGCGTGTGCGTGTGCGTGTGCGTGTGCGTGTGCGTGTGCGTGTGCGTGTGCGTGTGCGTGTGCGTGTGCGTGTGCGTGTGCGTGTGCGTGTGCGTGTGCGTGTGCGTGTGCGTGTGCGTGTGCGTGCGTGTGCGTGTGCGTGTGCGTGTGCGTGTGCGTGTGCGTGTGCGTGTGCGTGTGCGTGTGCGTGTGCGTGTGCGTGTGCGTGTGCGTGTGTGTGTGTGTGTGTGTGTGTGTGTGTGTGTGTGTGTGTGTGTGTGTGTGTGTGTGTGTGTGTGTGTGTGTGTGTGTGTGTGTGTGTGTGTGTGTGTGTGTGTGTGTGTGTGTGTGTGTGTGTGTGTGTGTGCTGTGTGTTTGTGTGTCTGTGTGTTTGTGTGTGTGTGTGTGTGTTTGTCTGTGTGTGTGTCTGTTTGTGTGTGTGTGTGGGCGTGTGTGGTGCGTGTGTGTGTGTGTGGGCGTGTGTGGTGCGTGTGTGTGGGCGTGTGTGGTGCGTGCGTGTGTATGTGTGTGCGTTCGCGCGTGCGTGTGTTCGATTGTCAGGGAGAGGAACTCCCAAAATTGGGGGAATGAATGCCGCCTAAGAAACAACCAAACGCAGCTGAAAATTGGTCACTATCCTTAGAGGTCCTCTCTTTTGTGGGCGGGGCGTTGTTTGGACGCCCCTCCAAAGGAGCCAACGCTTAGGGGCCCTATAAGGCTATTCCTGACCCTTCCAAAACCAAATGATGAGTTCCATGACCCCTTTCTTTCGGGTAACCCACTTTTTGCTTCAGGATAACCGTTACGGATAACCCCCACCTCAAGTTTAAGCCTGGCCTTATTGCGTAGCGCTGGATATATATTTCGGCTTTCGATCGAGACGGTCGCGCTCGAAGGTGGCGGTGGACCAAGACACGCCGGTGGCAGGCCACGACGTGTCACGGGAGGAGATCTACCAAGAGCCGCCCGGTCTCTTGAATACGTCGAAGTCAGCTTCCAAGCTGGGTGACCATGAGGTTTGTCCTGCGGGGTGTATATTAATTAGGGAACTTCCAGAAAAGAGGTTGGTGAACATGAGTCCCATGATAAGTCCACCAATGGATCCCCAATAAAAATTCACAACCATACGGGCGTTTTGTTAAGGCTCCCATGTTCAGTTTGGAAAAGGAAGACAAAGGCACATCCAAATCCAGAAGCCAGTCATTTCGAGTCTTGGCACCCGTTCCTTTCGGTCTTTGCACTGAGATTGCACCGGGGCTCTTAAAAAAGGCGCTTCGGGAACCCAGGACCCTTCCAAGAACGCCCTTCCCTGAAACTTTTAGAGTGAGGTCGTTTATGACATTACTTGCAGGGTTTTTTGAAGCCTCAGCTTTTAAAAGAATGGGTCCCTGTGCAAGTTCAATGTTTGTTTCCTATGGGGTGATGTTGTCCTGGACCCCCAATGGACCCCGTTTTTCTGCCTTACCGTCTTTTTTGGTCGGGCGCAGGGATTTCCTTGAACCGTCCAACGGATGAGAAATGCCACCATGTCAAAAAGGAGTGTCTCTTTTTAAGGGTACCTTTGTTTGGTGGTTTGAAAGGAAAACCAAAAAGAACACCAACATTTAAAAGGCCCCCTAAAAAAGACACACCCTCAGGGGTGAACCACATGGTGTTCCTTTTTGGACTCGCAGTTTCACAGGCCCCGAGATCGTGTTTTCAAGCTACGGTGCATCATTTCGGTGGGAAATGAAACTGAGCATGTTTTGATGATACGAGAAGAATTTCCGTACAACCCCCGTCTTGGATTCCTTCTGGCAGCTTGCATAGACATATTGGGTTTGTTTTTTGTTGGAGCGTACCCTTTGGATGGTTGAAAAAGGGGAAGCCAAAAGCGGAGACCACCCATTTGTATGTTATATCATGTGTACAATAATGTGCATATTTTAATGTATTATTTTTTCCAACTGCTGAAAGCGATGGGGTCTCAGCCTACTTGGGGCGGTCGGGGGCGGTCTGAGGTAAGGTTTCGCAGGGTTCCTCGAGGGTTCCGCGAGGGTTCTGCGAGGTGGTTCTGAGGAGGGCCGCGGACGGGGGTGGTAAGGGGTGGGTTGCGCGAGGGTTCTCGGAGGGTTCTGCGGGAGGTTCTGCGGGAGGGTTCCACGCGTTGGTTCCGAGGAAATTTCCACGAGATTCACGAGGGGAGTTCCGCAAAACATCCGAAGATGCACGGGGCCGGCAAGGAGGGTTCCGGGATGTTTCGGGGCTGTACCTGTGTACCTTTCGCGTCTGCAGAACCCAGATATCACCTGAGCTTCTCTTTGTTTTTGGGGCAGGCAGGTCTGATTCCTATTTCGAAACATACCCATATGTTTTAACCAGGGGCTCGAATACCTTTGCATTTGTACCTTTTCGGAGGGCCTGATTTGAGTTTGGCGAGGTGACCTTTGTTCTTCCTTTTTTTTGAGGCCTCAGAAGAAACTGCCAAAAACAGAGAGCCCCCTTTTTTCGCATGGCCACTGGGGTCTGGGATAGGAACAACCCTGTTTGACTCTTTTCAGCAAGGCTTGATCCTTTTGGAGGGAAGCAAACTCAGGCCATAGACGTCCAGTAGGCGGTTGATCCGTAGAGAGCTAGACTTCCGGAGAGCATCTGGTGGGAATTTCATACCCGATGAAATTCTCACCAAGGCCTGTCTTTATAATCCTGCCATGAGAGGAAACCCTCCTGAAAGAAACAAATCCCAAAGCAACAAAAGCAACGCTCCCTGCCTCAGTCCTCCGACGCGCACGCATGTCAGGTTTAAGAACGCGCACCTCTTCCCTCTGAGATGCGGTGCCCTGGCAAGACCACCCGGGACCCGAAAGACCCATAGGGGTTAGCAAGCCTTACATTGCCAGATTAGCTTTTCCGATTTTGCCTTTTGAAGATCTTTGCAGTTTGTGTTTGTCCCCTTTTGAGCAGCAAACCACAAATTTGTCAATTTCCATGAGGGTACAACCCCCAGGTTTGTCAGCGAGCGCGCACACCTTTTGGATGGTTGTTGTAGCTTCGAACAAGGTCGGGTCTGCATAGTGTTTCGTTGCTCAAGTCACGTTGTTTGGGGTCAGGTCTTCAAACATGTTGCGGTAGACTAAATTTGGGTGTGTCTTGGTTTCAGGCACCCCCCCGACAAAAAAAATGACAGAACATGTGGATTGTCTGAGGCTTTCCCTTTAGCACCACAAAAAGGGCACCCTCAAACAAAGACAGATCCATAGAATCAGAACATGTTATATTCGGTGTACCCCATAGTGCCAAATTACGTCTCCGATTGGGCAAGGCATCCAATCAAAGCTAGGAAGGCCTCCCTTCAGCAAGCTTTTGTAAGATGCCCTTTTCAGGAAGCTGGCAGCAAAGCCGCCATTTTGGTTGTCGCCCGGTGACACATAGCTATGTAGTTCGCACCCAGATGCATGCTTGAGGCACTCCATGTCCATGCTCGACCGACCCATGTTCGGAGGAATCTCCTGGTTCCCAAAAAAGATGTACTTTTGGAGCGCGCTTCCGCCTTGGTTCCGATCTAAGCGAATTGCGCATGTTTGCGAAATCGCTTCATGGCAGTGTCAACCACCTTCTCACGTGTCCACTGTCTGTTCTCACAGACTAGACTCAAAGTTGGTACGAACACCCCTAAACTGGCACCCAAACATTGAGCTGCTGTCAACGTGGGAAAGCTTGTTTTTTCTTCTACGGGGTTTGGAAGCCACTGGTTTGGGCCAAGGGAACCATAGGGTCGATCTGGGCAAAAAAACGTCTAGGCTGGCTGTCCGGTGGTGTAAACCTCACCTTCCGAAAGACCTCAATTGAGTTTGGCTGGGCGATCGTTAGCGGGGGTATCATATGCCAGACCCCCAGTGGCGCTCTTTGCTTTTGCAGGGCTTTCCTTCAGAAAAAACTGCCAAAAACAGAGAGCCCCCTTTTTTCGCATGGCCACTGGGGTCTGGGATAGGAACAACCCTGTTTGACTCTTTTCAGCAACTTGATCATTGAAGATGTAGTTGGGGAGTGTGACCCCTGGAATTACATTTCCGCTTCTCCTTGTTGGAAGACTAGATACTGTAGCTGGAATTTCGGGCATGCACAGAGGCACCAGGTTGTGAGCATTTCGCCCTACCGTCACCAAAGTTGTTGGTGGACAAAAACCCACCTAAATGACACTCCAATTGAAACTCATACCCCGATGGTGCTGAATTGCCCAGAAATCACCTGGATTTTGCCCTCTTCTGGGGAAATGTTCAAGACCCTTATTCTTAAACTCATCTTCTCACTTCCCCACTTTCTGGGCAATTTAGTGGTAACCAACAGGTTCGTTCAGGATCGTTTTGGCCAATCCACTCAAGTGAATCTTGTTGATTCCCCACCGGGGTACCCTGGCTAACTTGTGTTTGCAGCCAAGTCAGTAAGTGGTTTGGGCCTGGGCTTTACTGTAACCCGCTTTGGTTCGCCCTCCCCAGGAGGAGCTTACTCTGTCAGTGGTTGTAACCTGCCTGGAGTCTTCTCTTGACCGGGGTCATTACGTCAGTGCCCAAAGAAAAGGGGTGGCGACCCAAGGAGACTCCGGGTACGCCGAACACCAAAAATGCACCTGACAAACAGGCTGCCAGACCAATGTCCAAGGCTCCCTATTTGTCCAACCTTTTGAACTGTTGAACCATTTGTTTTTCTTTGTTTGTCGAAAGGTGGAATTGAGTTCCATATTCAACAATCTTGATTTCTTTGGAGCCGACTCTGAGACTTAATGTATGACAAACCAACCATTTCGACGTTTTGGGCCAATCAGTGTTCAGCCAGCCTGGTTCGGGTAGGGTCTTCTCGTCAGGCCGGTCCATGCACGTGCAAGACATCGAGGCCATCGACCAGCTGGTCCAGACTTTGCCGCCCAGCCCGTTGGTCGGAGGATGTCGCAGTTGGGGCAGTTGAGCTGTTGCAGGTTTGGCCCTATCAAGCAACCGAACCAAGGGTGTCCCTCGGGTCTGAGCACTCCCTTTTCAGATCACGTGTTTGGACGTAAGTGTGTTTCCTCTTGGTTTGGTGATGTTAAAAGGCGGGACAAATCTCAGGATGGGTTTTGAGACAAACAAAGGGACTTTTCGAATCTTTTGGGTTTCCCTTTTTTGGTCCTGTTGGTTTCAATTTGGTGTTTCCCTTTTGGTCCGTGTTGGGATCCCTTGAGGCCGTGCGATTCCACCTCGCTGAGGAACGATTCGAGCTCCTTGCTGAATGAGGCGTACAGGTTTTCCGTGAACGTTACTGAGAAGGACAGAAGCTTCGGACGGTCGGAGTTGGGGTCTCCTTCTGACGCGAATCAACATTGTGTTGCCACCCCTTCCTTTTGGGTAATGACTCCATTTTTAAAGGGTCGGCAGGAGGCTCCAGGTGTAAAGAATGGCGCATTCCCTTCCATTCTGGTGGCAAACAGACGGTGTTGTCTTGTTTCTCTTGCCAACCCACTTGCGAAGACGGTTTGATATTTTCCTCCTGCCTGTTTTGTGTAACTCGTCCATATGTGGATTTGGGGTCTTCCTCATGAATTGTTTTGTCCAACCCGCGGCAGGGATCACTGAAAATTTGCGGGGGATTCCCTTGCAGCTTGGTGACTTCTGACTTCAGATACGACGTGGGTATTTCAGGGTCTTTCCATGAAAGGGATTGAACACTGCGGGCACCCCCTCTTGTTTCCTGCAAGGGTTGCCAAGCTTCCTGCAGAATGTGCCGTTGCTGGTTTTCTATGATGCCGGATACCTGTATCCGAGATGACAATCGTCTTCCAGAGGGACCTGTGAACTTCCAATCTGGTCTTCCCCTACTGTAGTTGCTCAGTGCCGCATGTCCTCTTTCCCCATTTTGAAGAAGGGCGTCCTTTAAACATCAACCAACACAAACAGCGCAGAGCTCCAGTCGTGGGGCTTCGTGAGGCTGGCAAGTCCCTTCACGAGATGGACAAGGAGATGCGCCTCAACGAGCAGCTCGGCGAGCTGTCGCGAGCTCCCGAAGGAAACCCCAAAGCTGTCAGCCGGGGACCAATGCGCCGGGAAGATATCTCTTTCTGAGGGAAATGTTCATGCGTTATTCTGACCCCTCCCCAAGACGGGCCTCCCCACTTTTGCCAACTTCAACTGGGAATGGACACATACGCTTATCCAGCCTTAATAAGCCGTAATCTTAATAAGGCCTATTTGCCCCGAATATGGCTTAGTGAGGCTTATTAAGTGTCCACTAAGCTTGCCAACTTGTAAAATGTTTATGAGATGGCATGGACCGTGCTTTGTCGAACACTCGCATTGGGAATGCCAATTGACATAGCATTGAGCATGCGTCTGAAAGCAAACATGTTGAACATTCCGCAGCTATGACGTTGCTGGATGTTCATCAAAATACGACGGTTTTTGTTCCCGAAAACGGCCTTGTTCCTAATCATCAAAGCGGACGGTTTGGGCCTTGTCAAGAGTCGTTGTCTTCTGGGACAAGGGTGCCCTTTTCTAAGGTCCGACCGATGTCCGACTCCCCGAGCACAATGTCCGACTACCGGTGTCCGACTTTCCGCTTAGCCTTTTCTAAGGCCCTACGACCCCGCAAAAGCAGAAAGACAACCAACCTTTGAGGCCCTTGTTTGCCCTTGGTTGCCTGATTTTGAATCCATTGATCGCTCAAGCAGAAAGCCTCAACGGGAACTCCTTCGACCAGAGCCCCTGTCAGAGGGTTGATTTGTCCCCCTTCGTTTGTACCTAACTACCTGGACCACCACGTCTGTTTTTTGTTCCGCCTTGAGTTTTTTTCTTGATGGTTTTTTGGATCAAAGGCAGCTGACTTCTCTAAAACACAGCCTTTAAACTTTAAACTGTTGAACTTTTAGTTGTCTTCTCTTATACTTTGACTGGAAGCAAATCAAGTTGTGGCAGCTTTTGCCCTGGGATTTGAGCCGCAGACATAAAGGGGTCCTTTGTCCTCCAAGGTTTGGAGGAGGAGTATGGAAGGCGGTGCGCGTACCGCCACGCCGGCGGAGGAAGAAAGCCCTTGGTTCCCGAAAAACGAACCACTTAATTTATCATGCAGTCAGAAAACAGATCCTTCCCAATCCTTTCCAAAAAGCCACTCAACATTTGGGGATATGATATGGCCAGCGTACAAAAACGCGACGGAAAAGGCGGCGTCAACCTGGGGTCTTCACAAATTTGTTACATGTTTTGTTTTACATATGGACTAAAATGCGGAACATAATCGCCAAGGGTCATTGTTTTGCGCACCTCAGAGTTGAGCTGGGCCAAGCAGCCAGAGATGGCGACTCCATCTCAGGTCTGACCCTGAGCGTCCTGATTCCATCTACGTGCAGGAGCGATCGGGTGGTTGGGGGCCGCTGAAAAAGCGCTGACGATCCGTCCGTTTGCAGTGCCGAAACTGGAGAATTCGTTTCGGGTTGCTTCTTGGCTGGTTTTTAAACTTGTTGGGGAGAGGTGTGTGTGTGTGTGTGGGTGGGTGTGTTTGGTTGTGTCTGTGTGTGTGTGTGTGTGTGCGTGTTTGTTTCTAATCAACCAAAGTTCAACTGTTTGTTAGGGGCAACGTCCACCAATGGACCAAGTTCTTGGCTGGGTCCCGTGAAGGCGTTCCATGTCGAGGCATTTTCCAACTTACTTTTAGTAGGCCCCGGTGGTTTCGCTGAAAGCCACCACACTGGTAATTTTGAGGATCCCACTCGCGTGGACCAAGTTTGCTGGGCGCTTAAGCGACGCGTGGTGCATGTTGCGAGCACTTGTTTTGTCTGGAATGGATTGGGGGTCCATGGGTCGAACCCATGTGGTCAAAATTTAACCACCAGGGGACCGCAGGGTTTAGTCCTTGGTTCCATTTACCAGGGTTCTATTTGGGGTACCTATTCTTGACCCACAGCCATGTAAGCTCGGACTTGCGGTCAGAGAGCAGCTGAACCGCACGTGATCGTGCAATATTTGAGGGTACTCTGGTTTGGGTTTTGGAAGTGCCCTGACCCCCCCCAGCCCCCACATTTGACGCAGCATTTCAGCATTTTTTTCTGACCGGACGCACCTGGCCAAAGGTGCCATGCTCAAGGCTGGTCCCTTTTGGCGGGTTCATAGGGATGGTCTTGTTTTGGCAAAAAAGGGCAGATGTCGCAGATTTGGCAGGGTTGCTACTCTGCAAAGGCCGAGGTACAACCTATAGGACCATCACGAAGGTGGAAGAAAGTGTGTTTTTCTCCCAGGCGACGTAGCCAATTGGAGGGATAGTTTCATTGAAGGGAGATGTTGATTGTCAGGACATGCGCTGGACGGCGCGGCAGTCGCTTCCCTGGTCCACCTTCCTACGCCCATCCAAGCATTACGAGCCGCTCGGGCAGAGCGAGGTGAGTGCAAAGAACGGAATCCAGATTTCGGCAGTGGTTGGATCTTTGAGCTTTAACTTTTTGGGAAACCGAGGGTTTTCCATTGAACCCACAAAACAAGTTTTTGCGGAGGGGTCCGACAACCAGCAAAACTGGGAATTTGGTCGATTTAACATGATTTCTCCAACAAACGTGCCAATCACGAATGCGTAAACTGGGAATGCTAGTGACAAACTGCACAAAGTATCCCCAATGAGCTCATCATCGCAAGCAACCCCCCAAATGGGGATGGTTTATTGGCATGTTCACATTCGCGTGGCTTGAGCCAGGAGGTGGACTAGGCCGTCAAACATTGCCATTTGGGGTGTTTTTTGCCCGCTCAACATGTCCAGGGGTGGAGATATCGACAAAAAGGGTAGCGCCACACTGCAGCCGCGGAAGGTTTGCGGAAGGCTCGTGGTGGATTTGCTCTTTCCAGAATTGCCAGCAAATCCTGCGCACGAACTCCCTGGCGGAAGCTACCTTCCTCAATTTCCAGAAACAACTTGCCCACGGAAGGCCCGCAGAAGCACTTGTATAGAAACATGCTCGCGGAAGCTACTCTTCACATCACACTGCGGAAGCTTTGCAGAAGGTTTCAAAGTTAAGGGGACTAGCAGCTAGCAACCACCACTCATTTAGCCATTACACATTAGGACATCACCCATCATTTCTCCCACCTCAAAGTGGAACCTAAGCCTGCCCTGTTCGACATTCAGCCACTACGAATAAGGAGCTAAACGCTCCGATTCAGAAACTAGGCCTGCCCGATTCAGCAACTACGAGTCAGCAACTATCCAGGCCAGGTTCAGCCACTATGATTCAGCAATGAACGGAGCCCGATTCAGGAACTAAGGAAGCCCAGTTCAGCAACTTAAGTGGCCCGCTTCAGCAACTAAAGTTTCCCGATTTAGCAACTACAATTCAGGAACAAACAAATCCGATTCAGGAACTGAATAGGCTGATTCAGCAACTTCGGACGAGAAACCAATATGCCCGCCGGTGATGTCAATCTTCTTTTGGGGTTGCGGAGGGTGCCGGGAAAAGAAAGGGGGGCGGAGCTGGACGTTGTTGATCTTCCGGCCAAAACAGCAGCGCAACAAGTGAGTTTGGACCTTGAAGAGCAGCTTAAGCTGACTTTTTGGGTCTTGCCCTCTCGGACAAGAGCTTCTTGAGTTTCCGTTGATTTGCATTCGAAGAAGGCCTCTACTTGTGAATTCTTTTCAGTTTCCGAATCAGTGCTTGGTCCTTTTTGGCTTCCGAAGAAGACCGTTCTAGTTTCCGAAGAAGACCATTGTAGTTTCCGTAGAAGACATGTTTTTCCCGAAGAAGACCATTTTAGTTTCCGTGGAAGACCATGTTTCATGTAAAACACACGTTTCAGCTTCTAAGATGAGGCTCTAAGAATGCACTCCTTTTTTAGACCTAAATTCTAGCATCGGAATTTAGCGCACTCCAGGATGTGCTAGCACGTGCTAGCACATCCTGCATTGAAGATTGAAGATTGAAGATTGAAGATTGCTGACAATTCTTTCTGGGAATCTTCAAATCTATACTTAGGGCAATCCAGGGTGCGCATGTGCTAGCACGTGCTGGCACATCCTGGATTGAAGATTGAAGATTCTCTGACAACTCTCTCAGGGATTCTTCAATCTTCAATCTTCAATCCAGGATATGCTAGCACGTGCTAGCACGTGCTAGCACATTAGTTTGTCCTAAGGATGGATTGAAGATTTCCAGAACAAGTGGTCTGAGAATACTCAATCTTCAATCCATGATGTGCTAGCACGTGCTAGCACATCCTGGATTGCCCTAAGTACATATTTGAAGAATTCCAGAAAAGAGTTGTCAGAGAATCTTCAATCTTTAATCCAGATCCTGGATTGCCCCTAAGCGCGGATTTGAAGAACCCAACAGGCAGACTGGGAGTGCACGTTGTCAGAATCACATTGTGGATGTGCACTTGCACTTCCTGCATTTTGCCAGGGGGAAAAATGCTGTTGACACCTTTACAGGTTTTCTTGCAGATCTTCAATCTTTAATACAGGGGGCAAATCCTTCATGAGTCTAGAACAAACGGGCCCAGGATTGAGGATGTTCTAAAAATATGTTTGTGGAATCTTGTATTTCGTTCTTCGATCCAGGGCAACACGATCTGAGCAAATGCTGCAAAACGCTGCGTTTTACAGCATTTCTGCCAGGAATAAGATCTATGATTGAAACACTTTTCAGTCCTTGGCTTGGCTCAGTTCTTGCTTGGCTCAAACCACATGGAGTTGAATAAGGACAATAACCCTTTCAAAATTGAGTTTCATTTCAAGTTCATTTGGCCATGACAATAGCTATCTTCTCCAGTTGTTTTTTGAAATGCACAAGAAACTGCAAACGATTAAAATTGAATTTGGTTTGAACTCGAAAGCGTTTTAAACTGGATATCCTTCCTTTACTTGAATTTAAATAGTTGTAATTGGCGATGATTGAATCAACTTAGACAAGCAACACACAAGAACCAGCATGTACATGGAACTATGCACAGCTCTCGAGTTAACATGTAAATGCAACTGCGCAAGGACATGAAGTAGGAATGAGTTCCTTTGCCCCAAGTTGATGATTTGCCAAATTTCGCTGTCAACCAAAAATAATGAAAACCAAATAATAGAGCAGCTACAGGCGCGTTGAAGCTGACAAAGCATGCTTCACGAACTACTCTTGTGCTGAAAAGTTGTGCTTGTTGAGCTGGAGCTGCCAAAGTGCACTTTGCGTACTCCAAAGTGACTTTAAGTGCATTTCGCGCACGCCAATGTGAGTGTCACACAACTCCTATTCATGAGCTTAACTTCTGCTTCGTTGGAATTTGCATGGAGTTGCGCGTTCAGTCAGTTTGTTTCAGAGTCTCAAGGCAATTTGTCACTCCCAATCTGGCCAAAAACCTCTTGCAGTATTTCAAGGGGGGGTAGCATATATGTATTTAATATATTTATATGTGCCTATTGAGCGGAAGTTCGTTCGGAGCCATTGTCCTGAGGCAAGCCTTCCTCAAGCCACGTTCCATGGCCTCGGTCAACGAACACCCAGCGGGGGCTGTTTAAATGATAGTGGATTTTCTATTTTTGAACGCTCCGCGTGCAGCCGGGAAGAGGACAGATGTTGTTGACCGTCGGCCTAGGCACCACGTGTCGCGCCACCCCAAGAACCTCTTTATGCTTTGCTTCGGGCCTCGTGTGGCTTCGCAGCTCGGACATAAAATTTATGGTTGGACGGCCGCAATCCAAGAACTCTTTTTTTTCAGCCGTTGCCCCCCGAGAAAACCAGCGTTCGAGAAGATGCGGGCACCCTTCGCTTTTGACCCAGTTGGACAGTTGAACCCTTTTCCCCTTCCCCCTCTTGACAACATGCTCAGACTCATCCCTTCGGATGATCATCCGGAGACTGCTGGTTTCCAGCAATCAACGCCTCCAACGGAATCCACGAGTTTTCTTACGTAGGTAGTCATGGTAGTCCATGCATGTGTAATTCAACTTGCCACTGGAATCCATGTTCGCTCGTACTGTCCTGCAATTTCTCCGGGGGTTGAGCTGGTAAGAAACATCAAGTTTGCCGGACCATCTGGCTCAACCAAAAAGGTTGCGTTTGCTTTGCCTCGCTTTGCAGCCATAGCGCTTGATTTGGTTTGAGCTTGATTTGGTTGGTTATCAGCCGTAGACTCACGGTCTGCGACTGTCGGTGCGTCCGAGTGTTTCTCTTTATTCCCCACCAAAAGCGGTCAATCAACTTAAAGGGTTCACTTCTCCCACCCGGCCCAGGGTCACTGGTTGCATCTGTGCAAGTGTGATCACGGAGGTACCCGCACAAACGGGAGAATGGGGAGCACATCTTGGCGGACATGAACACGGCGGGCTGCAATGGCTTTTGGGATCTCGAGGACTGCCTGATCCGCTTGTGTCCTATGATCATGTAATAATTCGGTCTAACGGAACCCATTCTATTTGGATGAAATCGAGATTTGGACCTCGGAATGGGTTGCGTCTCTTCTGGATTCCCTTTCAACTAACCCGAAGAGGGTACCCTCAACACACACACAAAATATATACTATGTGAATATATATATATATACATATATATATATATATATAAAAACACATTTATATGTGAACATATTTATATGTATGTATGTGTATATAGATATATAAATTTAGATATATCTATACATATATATACAGCATATATATATATATATATTTATTTACATATCCAGCCGGGAACCCGGCAACAGCTCTGAGAGACCTACTAACTCTCGCGTCTTTAATGAGGTGGTAGCGGAGAGGGGCCTGGGGCGACTGCTGGGTCAAAAGAATGTCCAGCCGCACTCTTTCAATGGTTTTTCTTCTAATCCTTAAAACAAGTGCAACTTGCAGATTGTGTGTGTAGGGTCTTCAAACGTAGACATTGGGCTTATGCTTGGGATACCGCAGGGTTGGGTTCCTGTTGAGACGGCAAGGGGCTCCGAAAACCTCCAACCCCAGCCACCATTTGGGGTGTCCCACATTGCTCCCTTACCCATCACAAGGAAACTTCTTGGGTTTAGCACCGAATGGTGATATAAACAACACCGAGAAGGTGCAGCACAAGGGATAAGGACACCCTGCTCCCAAAAGATGCCTGTCAAGTTCTAAGGGTACCCTTTTGGGGAGTGGTTTAAGAAACCGAAAGGAGGCCAACCATTTAGGGTGTCCGTTCATTTCGAAACACACCTAAGCGGGTAACCGTGAGACCTGCGCTTTCGAGCTCCAGGAAGTGATCCGTCACATGGACCGCATCAAAAAGCTTTTTGCGCCTGAGATGTGCTTTGAGTTCAAGCTGCGCGCCACGGCACCAACGAGTCTGCGAGAAAAGAAATGGTCGCAGGGTTCCTCCGGGGTAAGGGCTAGATAACCCTTAACCATCTTGCTCCAAGTTGTTTTGACGATGTAATTAAGCAGTTCTCCACACGACTTGTCGGACGCGGTAGTTCTTCTCTGAATCATGCCAGAATCAATCCACTAGTTGGATAAAATTTGAGAATCTTACTTGACTGGACTAGCAGGGTGCTGAACCTAGGAGGGCGGGTTCTTTCCACAATCTCATTGAGTGAATCCACAAGGGGTTGGGTCTGAAAAAACAATGAGAGCGAGATAATAGAATCCCCGGGGGGGGGGTATAATGATTCTGGGCCATAGTTGATATGTGTGTGTGCACGTGCTTGGGTTTCAAACCAACCCGTTTTATTTAAGCATCTTCTAGGGCCTTTTGAATTGAGTTTGCTTGGTGGGTGAAGTTTAAAGGGGAAATACAGGGAAGTCTAAAATACCTTTGATTCACTGTGGAATTGACAGAGGTGTCACGAAGCGTGCTTTCACCGGACCGTGCTCACGTGTGGTGCCTTTAGACCTCAAGCGGATGCCCATGACAAACAATTTCTAGTCTATCTATCTAACCACCAAGTGTGTGTGTGCGCGCGTGCGTTGTGTATCGCTGTGTTTGTGCTTTCCGTCTACGTGGGGTGCTTTGCAAAAGGAAAGGGAGAAGATGCTCGCTGTTTTTTTTTGCCGATTGAATTCGTTCCACCAAGAGGATACCGTCAGTTTGGTGGGGATGGCCCAGGCAGATAAAACAAATCCCTATACGCTGCTTAGGGAAACGTCTAGTCATCTAGTCATTGAACTGAGGTTCCATCCGAGGGGGCTTGTGTGAAAGCTCCTTTTACTTGGTTGGTATGCATGGTCGTGGGCTGTAGGTAGGGATTTTAGACAACCGTTGCAAGGGCTTATGACTTATGACCATGACGACGCAAGGAGTCTTGACCATTGCACACGTGCCCTCTTTCAGACGAAAACAGGTGAAATCTGAGCAAAAACAAGTCTTGGAGCCTTCATGATTCCAAGGGTTGATTCCTCATTTGTCTTCATCATCGTCCTTGTCAACCACGCATTTTCCTCAGGTGTTTGATGGTTTACCGGAAAGACTCGGACTGGATTCAGACTGGCTGGAAGTTACTAGTTGCCCGGTGGCCCTAAAAGGATCGGGACCCTCTTTGGGTTGACCACCCGAACCCACCAAACCTTGACCAAAGATATGGGGTGTGTAATTTTTGAGGGGGACCCCTAAATTGTGGTTTTCCTGAAATTTTCCTTTCAAACTAGCCACACTGGCGAACCCTCAAAAAGAGACACACCTGCAATGGAAGTTCGCTTTTCAGGCAAGGAGCTCAAGCTCAAGTTCATGCAGACCTTCGTGGAGATGCGCTTCGGCATGGGGGTTGCAATCAGATTACCAGTGTAATTATTCTATGACGGTTTCTGAATTTCAGAAACTGGTTCGTGGTTTCTCTTGACCCTTGGCGTGACTTTTGATAGTAGAAAACAAACTAAACATGGGGGCCACTGTTGTCAGGACAAATTCCTCGCTGCGCGGAAGCCTGACAAGACAAGAGTTCCCATGGGGGGGGGGGTGATTCCTACCTCTATGTTGCATGTGTTTGTTTAATGTTGATCAAGAATAACTTAAACTCCTGGTTGGTTGATAGGCGTTTCGTATTTCAAGGCAATGTTTCGCCTCACTCTATTGCAGTTATCCTTGCTTTGCGTGGGAAGCATCGTCAGCTCGGGCGTCCGAGCTCTCGCGCGACGCATGCCTTGTTGGGGGGGTGGGGTTTGGATAGGGGGGAGTTGTGTCGGTTTGAGGGTGACTTTTGGAGTAAAGGAGGATTCCAAGAGAAACACCCCTGGGATTGGCCTATTTGGAAACCTTGTTATATGTATTGGTTTCCACTGGAAGTGGAAAGGGAGACTTTTCAAGACTGTCTTCCAAAGCCCTTCCTTAAATGGTGGCTTTCTCTTGGCTTAGGCGAGGGATACACCCCAGATCGCCCACTTTGAAGGTGCATGTTTCTCAGGTTGGTAAAAAATCATATCACTTCGGAGCCTCAGGGAAGGGGAATTTCAAGACCAACAGACGCGTATTGCCATTTCGTTTTTTGTCATGCCGCTTTCGCAGGGCCCTGGCAGAGAAAGGCAAGCAGAGTTCCGGAGAATAGTTGCCAACTGTACCTCATCGGAAGAAAACTCTAGAAAAACATTTCAGCCAACTTCAACTCGTGATACTTGGCAAGCGGAGCCCAGACGTGATGTAGTTGCCACATTGACTTTGACTACTTTTGAAACCACGTCTTATAAGAACATCAAAGTTGCCACATTGACTCATGGGAAGAGGACCAAATTTGCGCGTGGCCGAGCTTTCTGCCAGCCTTTTTTGAGCGAGCCTTTTGGCCCTTTCAAGGGGATTCAACGTCTGCTGATGTGCAGTGTTCTCCCTCTACGACTTCACTTTTTTTTTGCATGTTTTTCTAACCCTTCACTTTCTGGAGCTTGTGTTCCTGTTGGGTTTTTGGTGTTTGGTTGACAAAAGATCACCCTTCCCAACCTTGCGTGGACCGTCAGAGGGCTCGTCTTTCAGAGGTCCAGCTGTACGAAGCCGATTAGGCATTTCCGGTGTTCTTGCCTTTGGCTTCTTTGCCAAACAGTCAACACGTTTCCTACAAGCAACAAGTCAGCTTTCTGCAGGCATGGGACTTTGCTTTTTTTTGCCGCGTTTTAGAGAGTTTTAACTTAGATAAGGCAAAGGATTGAGTGCATAACACCGATTCCTATTGGCCATTCAAGTAGGCTCCACTGGGTACTTGGTTTCATGCGGGTTATAGCAAGGCTTATACAATTCATGTAAACCCCAAAATCATATTGGTAGAACCAACAGTCATGTGTCAACGACTGTTCGTTTAATCAACATGCGTTTGTTTTTCATTTAAAGGAGACCAGGATCCCTGAAATGGTTCGTCTCTCTGTTGTTTACCACAGGAAACCAACCAAAAGAGAGTTCCCCCAAGAAGGATACCAATCATACTTCCTGTTTATCATGGACCTCCAGAAAAAGAGGAGCGCCACCCATTTTCGAGCTCAGGAACCAGCAGTTCGAAGCCTCCATGACTGGCAACTACTTCACGCAGCCTCTTGGCGTGGGACCGACCAACCTCGCCTCCAATACGTTGTTTTTCGTTTATTCATATAATATATTCTATGGGGTTATCTCAAAATGTGGAGCCAGCAAAATGGGTGGTTGCCTTTTGGTTTCTCATTGCAACCATCCAAAACGGATACCCTCCAAAATTTGACACTCACACAGACACACATCATACGTGTGTATATATATATATATACACATACATATTAATTATCCAGGTGAAGTTTCGCTTCCAGGCAATCCACTATAGCAGGTAGCCAGAGTTTCTTACCTCTAGGGTTTACAGACCCAAAGTGGACACTGGAAGCACTGGATAGGGTATTTTGCGGGGTTTGCGCCTGCAACATAGTTTCTAAGTGCCTGCCGTAGGGGGGGTGGGCGGGCCAACAGAGTGCAAAGCATGTAAGGAACCAGTGGGAATCTTGTGAGGGTTTGTGGTCGAATGTGGCGGGTTCACTTGCAAGAACTTTGTTCCCATAGTATTGCGTGTAAAGGCCGTAGCAGTGCCGGGCTATTTTAATGATTGCAATGGGAGGCATCAACGGCCCCCACCCCCAGAAAGCCTCTTGGAAGCCTGGCGGCCCGCCGACGCTGTCTGCGCAAAATTGGCTGAGACGGGGAAACCAGGATTTAATGGTTTGGTGGTTGAAACGTCCTGGGCCCCAAGGCACTAAAGCCTGCGCCTAGGGTACACGAGATGGACAACACCGGGTCCACTCGCCTTGAGCTTCTCAGCGACCGCAGCGCCGCGGCTTGAGTGGGGCAGCACGTGAGCACGCGGCCGGTGCAAACTGGGATGGGTCTTAAAAAGCGCTGGAGCCACAATCAAATCCTGGGTAAGGGAAGGGTAGGGGCAGCAGCAACCAGAAGCTGGCGCGGATATTCGCTCTTTAATTCTGGTAGACAGACCCTTATAGAGCCAAGTTTTGAGGACTCTTGTGTTTCTGCCTGGCAACCCACAGTTTCTCTCCCGGAAGCACTTATATAGAAACATGCTCGCGGAAGGTACCCTTCACGCGGGGAAGTTTTGCGGAAGGGGCCCATACGTCCATTCAATTTAAATGGAATATAAATCACCACTTTATGGGTGTATTTTTTTTCCGGGGCCCCAACATGGTGGTTTGTCTGTTGATTTTCATTTGGAATACAAAGCAAGGTCCCCCAAAATGGTGGTTGTTCTGTTGATTTCCATGTAGAACCACAAAGCAAGGTACCCTCACAAAAACAACTGAGCAAACAATTCTTTCACTTGGCCAGGGATAGTCATGGACCCCTAAACAGGCAATTCCCAGCGCCAGAGGAATTGAGGGAACCATGAACAGTGCGCGGGTGAGTTTGGACCGTGTTGGACATGGACCCCAGTGACTATGGAGGAACAACCGCTTTTCGTTTGGTTTTGTGGGAGTGGTTCCCTTGGTTACCAGCAAAATCGAGGGGGCTATACCCGATTGCGATTGGGTGCGCAACAGCCGTGGAATCTCCTGAGAGACAACTTGAAGTTGGATGGCAACAAGCAAAGCCGTTGCCACTCCAAAGCAGGTTACTGAGGGGGTTCGCTGTTGCAAACAATAGCCAAACAGGTTACATCAAAGGGAATCTGCCCAGTTTGGGGTTCCCCCATTTAGAGACAGAGCCGTGTGTGTGGCTGTGTCTATTTTCTTTGGCTTCTTTTGGTTTTTCTCCGAGGCAACCTCTCCACAAAGGCCATCAACTTCATGGACAGCAGGCTCTCTCCGCCTGGAGTCCACATTATGTTCGACGGTTTCCCCGAGTTGGACCACTTGGATTTATAGGTGGCATTGTTGAGGCGAAGGGACCCCTTTTCGGGGTTGGTGTCAAGGGGAAACCAAAGGAACACGATCACATGGGGGGCACCTCAAAATTTGAGACAAACCCATATGAGCAGCGCCCGAGACCTCAAAAGGGCCATCTCGGTAGGTGGTGCGGTTCCTACCTGGCTCTAACTGGGATCAGAGGAAAGCCTGCACAACCTTCATAAGAACCAAAAGTCAGCTCTGGTTTGTGGCGCTGCTCATATCGGTATACGTTTGTTTTTGATGCCCTTGTCGGAGCCTTCAGGAAGAACTATACGAAAACCACGGTCACCATGTCCAGTATGGTGGTTTGGCAAGGGCATGGGGCTGGGAAATTCGGATAGGCATTGGAATCATTAGATTCAGAGCAAGGGGAGCCATGGGAAGGCTGGTCCTTTGCCCTTAGTCACAGAATAGTCACTGTTCGGCGGCAATGTGCTCCCACTGTGGCACTGAAGGATTGACGCCTCTTAGCCTCAAGGCTTGTGAATCGCTCCTTGGAAACTCACCCCAGATATAGAGGGCCATGCCCTGTCAACCTACCACTTGGGGCGGACTTGGAACATGCCACACCCAGAAAAAGACTGTTCCAGCAACACACGTGGAAACGTACAGCCCGTCTTCGGAAGACTACTTTCCCTTTGGACCGCGGGATTTGCGTGCTTGTACGTTTGCTTCCGGGAGAGTACAGTTGATAGACCTCCAGACCTCCAAGACAAGCTATGAGAAGGGGGTCTCTCCCCTATAAAAACCCAAGTCAAGCCTCATTAGGGCTTATCCTTGGCTTAGGCTTAGGCGGTCCACAACAGTAACTGTGAGTCGGTGTTAAAAGGACGACCCATTCCTTTGAGTGGCAATCCAAAAGTTGCCAAAAATGGCCAATGCACTGAGGTAACATAGTATATAAGCTGTAACCGAACCACCTATTTCTCGTTGTTTTTCGTCAACCAATGTTATAAAGGATACGCTACTCGAAAACACCCATCGCCCATATTCCGTCGAACCAGCTGGTTCGGATCCAAGCGATCGGCTCGTCACGATCCGAAGGAAGGTGCAGCAGAAGTACGATCGCTTCTCGCAGCTAATGGCCAAGGCGGGTGTGAAACCCGCGCGGGCGGCGGGGGGATGTGGGACAGGGCTGGGTGCAACAGAATATACCTAAACAACCTGACCCGCTTTGGCCCGCCAAGACAATGGGACAAAAAAACAACGTGGTTTTTACAAAAGGTGTTCTGACAAGCCAGGGTTAACCCAACCCTGTACCAACAGCATGTTCCTTTCGTTGCTGGGATTTACTTCCTTTCGGTGGCCGTGTCTTGACTCTTTTGAAAGGGGCAAGCTAGCTCACTCGGCAGATTTCTCCTAGAACCCCACAACCCATCCACGTGTCGAGGAGTCGACTCTTGCGGGGGGGACCTATTTGCATGGACGGCCCGTCTGCCGATTTTCGATGTGGCACCACTTAGGGCTCCTGACCTCGAGCAGCATTCGGACGGGGGTGGCCTTTAGCTGATCTTTGGTTGGACCCACATGTTGCCTGGGAGAATATGTGGACTTTCCCTGTCACTCGCTTGCCCAACGGGTAACCAGGTGCCAAGCTAGCAAGCGGATCTATTATCCTGCGTCATACACCGTTTAACTTCCCCCCACCCGCAAGAGGAGCGCTATTGTTGGTGCGTTGTAGCCTAGCGGGCAAACCACATACTGAGTGGGCAGTTCCGCCTACTCACCGTCATGAAAACACTCAGTGCACCGACTTGCCACGGAAATGGGGGCTACTCACCAAAATGCAATGCCATTGGGGCACAATAGATATTGATGTTAACCGTGGCTCCTGATACGGCTGTTTAGGACCCTAGTTTGGACAATTGTCCGCATTTATTCAGACCACAACGTGGTGAATTCCATGGCAATGCAAGCAAATCCGCAAGTAGGTTACAACCACGGTTAAAACTTATAACTGGGGTAACTCGGTTTAGCGAGAACCTACTTAGTAGAATAAACAGCTAAGTAGGATCAACCTCCCCGTAGAAGATGCCCACGAAAACATAAAGGGATCACTGGAAGCACCATGAAGCAGGCGATCGGCTACGGCAGGTATATGGCTAGTAACTCTGGACAAATATGCCATTTGCCCATGTTATAAGTTTTCCAAGTGGGTCATGGCCAGAGATACCACCTACTTACCGGTTCTGTGGGTTCTTTGCTGAAGGTCACTAACCCCTTTGCCTGTGGCAATCGCGCATTGCTTCGCTCAGCGCAGCCAGCGATTTGTTTGCCAGGCCCACAGCAAGTGGGTCATCTGCGGCGCCGGGGCTCTCGGAGACAGCTCGGGAGCAACAAGTTGGCCTCACCTCAGAGAGTCTTTTTGTTGTTGTATTAACGGGCAAAGAACTCCCATGCAAACGATTCTGCTTTGAAATAGGTAGCCCTTGAAATGCTCCCTTTTGGTTTCTCTTTAAGTACTTGTCTAGACAAGTTATAGCGAGCTCACTGGCCTGAGGCAACCCCCAAACCCCGAACTACGAGGTGGTTTGTGAAATAAGGATTTCTCATTTCTGGGGCGTTATTTGGCGCACCGGGGCTTCATTTTCGAGTGCTACCACGCCAAGTGTGGCCAGGTGTGCGAGAATCCAACCCCCGTAAAAAGCTTGAAAACACACATGTTTGAGAAAATCCGACCCCTGAATGTCATCAACACGGGCATCAGGTTCTTAAAAACCAGCCGTCTCTGCTTATTTGGCCCTAAAGTGCTTGAAACCGCACATGCTTGCAAAAACCAGCCGTGTCTGCTTAATTGGCCTTCAAGCACTTGAAAATACACACGTTTGAGAAAATCGGGCCCTTCTTTGTCCCTCATTAAGACGGGCATCAGGCTCTCAAAAACAAGACGTTTCTGCTTAATCGGCCTTGAAAAGCTTGAAAACATGTTTGTGAAAATCCGAACCCAGAATTTCATTAACACGGGCATCAGGTTCTCCAAAACCAGCCGTTTCTGCTTATTTGGGCCTGAAATGCTGCACCTGTTTGAGAACATCCTGCCCTTCCCGTGTCTCATTAAGACTAGCATCAAGTTCTCAAAAACCAGCCGTTTCTGCTTAATTGTCCCCAACAAGATTGAAAACACACGTTTGAACCAAAAAAAGAGCTGCAGCAATACACCTGGCTCGACCCCCTTCCAATTTTACACTCTTTTTTAGGAGGCAAGGAAGGCTCCGAAATACGAGGTGCGAGGCGGACCCTTAATTTTGCGAGGTAGTATTTTATGATGTGTTTAATGATTCGAGGTACGAGGAATAATTTATAATTTGTCCAGACTTGTACTAGCCAAGTAACCAATAGGATGTGATGTAGGATCAGAAGCAACTGAGAAAGGGGGTCCATTTTTTGAGTCGTATAGCAAGCTCACCTGGCTAAGTTCTTTGACTAGGAAAGTCGTATTTATCCTATTTGCGGGGTTCCCGAAGAAAATACCCCCAAACAAGGGTGGCCTCAAAGCAGCCCAAACATTGTCCGTGGATGATTTGGCTCCTACCTGGTTCAGTGTTTGGGGTAAGGCTGATTAGAGCTTTGGGTGCGCCCAGAGGGCCGAGCGAACCTACCTAGCTTGAACATCCAAGTGGCGCCGATCTGTCCGCGTTCGTGGCGCCTTCAGGCGCACGACCAGGTGGGCCCAGAGGCCTTTGGCACCGAGGACAACTTCTTCAGGATAGGGCTTCGTCTTGTCAAATGCAGCCAGCTTTGCAGTCAGCTTGAAGACTCTGACCCCCCGCCCCCAGGTTTTTTGGGCCAAAGGTATCATTCCTTTGGTGTGCGACGTTTGTGTCGTTCCTGGTTGGTGCTTTGCACAAGGTTTGGGCCCAGTCCATATTGCACCCGTTGACGCAGGAACCCCACTGCCTACGACAAGTGGCTGCTTGGCAAGGTTCAGTTTGCCGTTTTGGGGTTGCGCATGCCCACTGGGTCCCAGTTACCACTTTTGAAGGCAAACAGCCATTGTGCTATTGGTTTTTAAATGGTGGTTTCGTTGGTTACCTACTTTTAAGCTATACAGGGGAAGGGATATCCTTGAATGGGCTTCCCAAGAGGCCGCCGCACGCTTGCCTGAGTGCCTTTGACCACTGGGTGGCTCAATGAGGCAATATTTCGGTATAGCTAAACGAACCCCCCCCCCTGGTTTTGAGTTTAAGCACATGGCAGGGTATGCGTAGATACGGGCGTCTCCTTTTTGGCGCCTTTTTCAAGGTTACTCTGAAGGGAAACAAAAGGAACACCCATTGTGGGGCGCGGTCCCATATCCATGAGGCTGGGCTCCATCGCAGATGAGAACATGATGGAGTGCAAGACCCTGGACGAGCCCCGGCCAGAAACTCCCACTGACATCTTCGATTTGCAAAACAGACTATGCGTTTTATTTTCCCTGTTGGTTTTAAAGGGAGTCCACCACCACTGCGGGGATTTCAACAAATGGAGGATGGAACCTGACTAGGGGTTTTGTGAGACAATTTTCCTTTGAAAGGGACCCTTGCAAGGGGGAGGAAGATTCGGGTCTTTGATTTCGCCCCTAAGTGATTCATCCCCCCAGGTATTACTTGTCTGAACGCATGGAAGGAGGAATTCTTTGGGGGGATCTCTAAAACATTCCCTACAAAGAGCGGGCGGTGCACAGTTTACGAAGCCAACGAGGAGCAAAGCTTTCAAACGGGTGCAGCACTTTTTGACGTGTCCTTAAGGCTGACCTTGTTATGGTGGTAACTGGGAGCACTGGGTGTCCCGCGTGAGGAGACCACCGGTTGCGTGAAGTGTGCCATCGCGGTCAAGGACGAGCATGGCTGCCGCATTCGGCTGGATGCAGCACGGCTAAATTGAGATAGACAACTATTCATAGATCTTTAAGAGGGTCCCGGCCTATATCTGGAAGTGAACATTTGAAAATTACTTTTGGGGGGTGATGTCCCTTGAAACCACCATGTAGAGGGTAGTTTTCAGGATACTACTTTCATAAATCCAGACTATTGAGTATGCAAACGGACTCCGGCAGAACTGGCAAAGAAGAGCTTGTCCAAAGCTGATCGTGTTTGTTGGACTTTTTCATGTCTTTAGTGAAGGCCAGTTCTTTGAGTAGGACAGAGAGCGCAACGGCCGTTGGACCGTTTCCATCCTTTTCCTATGTTGGTTCGTTTGGTCCCTGGGCAGTGGCTGTGGCTGGGGTCTCCTCCAAACATGTGCTTAGTTGTAGACTAGACACGGCTATGATTTCTTTGTTTGAACGACGCTCAAAAGTGGTGGACCTCAGAGTTGGGCTACGCTTTTGGCAGAGCACACGCCTCAAAATAAGCCATATATGGTCAAGGTTCGCAAGTGGTGTGGTTGGGGTGTGGTTTAGGGTTGGTTTATGGTTGGTCTAAGGACCACCCCTCCCCGTGGTGGGGTTGTAGTGGTTTAGACTTGGTTTAGGGTGGATCTAGTTGTAGTGGTTTAGGGTGGTTTAGGGTTGGTTTAGAGTGTGCTGAGTGTTGGTTTAAAATGTGTGTTTAGGGTTGGTTTAAGGTTGGCTTACGGTTGGTTTAGAGTGTATTTAGTGTTGGTTTAGCCTGTGTGTTTTTATCCTTGGTGCAGGGGTGGTCTAGGGTAGTTCCGGGTGGTTTAGGGTGTGCTTAGTGTTGGTTTAAGATGTGTGCTAAGGGTTTGGTTTAATCTAAGGTTGGTTTAGGGTTGATTAAGTTGGTTCAGGCTGGGTTTAGCGTGTGTTCAGAACGTGTCAAGTGTTGGTTTAAGATGTGTGTTTCGAGCCAGTTTTGGGTTGGTTGAGGGTTCATTTTGGTTAGTTTGGGCGCAGGGCGTGCCGAGGTGTGTTTTCTGCCAACCAGAGATTTTGGAGCAACTCATCTCAGGTGAAACTGAAGGATATCTATCAAGCCGCCTCTGGTGCAGCGTATCCCTTCCTGCAGAGCGACTACAAGGCCCAGCGGCCTCAGGGCAGCGCCCCGTGTTTGCCTGCTCGCTTGCTGCTTGCTTGCTTGCTTGTTTGTCTGTTTGTTTGTCTGTTTGTCTGTCTGTCTGTCTGTTTGCTTGCTTGCTTGTTTTTTTGTTGTTTTTTGATAGAATCCAAATGGAGCAAAACCAACCACTGGATGGGCCGGATTTTTCTGGGAAATGCTCAGGCATACCATGGCCTATTCCCAAAAACGGACGAAGCAAGCCCTGGTTGATTAGGGAATCATTCACTTTGGGAACACACACACACACTGTTTATTTGCCAGGTTCTTGCATCCAGGGTCGGCATGACCCGCCCGGTGCTTCCAGCTACCATTTGTTTCCTCCAGGTTTGACATTTTGGTTTCCCTGGCTACCCACTATGTAGGGTACGTTATGTACGTTTAGGGTTCAGGCCTGCAAAATAGTTAAAGAGCACTGGGCCAGGCTCGGTGTCGGTTCGGCAGGTCCATGAGGAGGTGACGGACGAGACCGGGCACAAGGACATGGCGCGAAGCCCTAGACGCGGATTCGGCCGAGGGCGGTCGGCAAGGCCCGAGATGGGTTGGTAAAGGACCTCAGTTGGGCCAGACAGTCCGTTTTTGAGCGTCTAGGCCCACAATTCAGCGATCACCCCCAAGCAATCTCCTGACCCGGCAGCCGAGCTGCCCAGCCGAGCATGCCGCAGGTTACGCGCAACAAGAAGGGGCTGTGCATGGTGAGGAAGAATCCCACCTCCATGCGGGCGGCGATCCGCGACAGCCGTGCCTCGGATTGCCATTCGTCGTTTCCTGGCCGCTGGGCTTTCTGGTCTCTCGCTTTTGATGGGCATGACTCAGAGACAGTTTATTAGAACGGCCCTCGATGAATGCCCCTCCAGGCCTTATTTGGCCCCAACAACGCTTATTACACTCAAACTCTTGGGGGCTGGGCACATGCAAGGGCCAAATGTGACGCAGGTTTACCTATTCACCGAAAGGGTGTCGAGTTTGACTTTGGAAACATTGCTGTCTTTAACCAAATACATTTAGCTCTTTTGCACGGGATCTTTGGGTTCAATCATTCGGTCGAACATGGTCCTTGACCCCTGGATGAGGTTACTTTGATTGCCACTGGGCATCGACGGCAATCTAAATTTGCAACCAGTCACAAGCTGCACTTCTTGGATGCCAACTGATCCACTTGAGCCTTCTTGCAACGCTCAAACACGGTGTGGCTTACACCCAGCGGCCGTTGATGATCCAAAGAAAGGACATCCTGGGTTCCAGTCCCTCTGAGAGAGGTGAGCAGGTTGCTCGAAAATTCATTTGGGCAAACAAGTTCGAGTGATCCCACCAATTCGGGGGCAAGACGCGAGCGATTCCACCCATGAAGGTCTTCAGCGTTGTGTCTTATAGGAGGGGCCTGCCTTTAGTTGCCCTGTCAAACAACCCAATAGAAGGGTACCCTCCGACCCATATGTACCATCCAGTACCATTTCAGGATTCAGGACAGCTGGGTAATTTCCTTTCTTCAGGGATGCCTGGGTTGCTTGTTGGCAGGGCAAGACAGGTGCCTGGACTTTTGTTGGTGACCTCACCTCGTGATATTTCCTTTCGCAGGTCGCTTCTTTCGGTTTGGGACTTGCTATGATTCACCCAGATGTTCCCATGGTTGTCAGGGCCCCCCCCACAGGCACCTAAAAGGACATCTATTAGCTCCTAGAGGCCTTAGTGGCTATTGGCCCCTGTTGGCAACCATAGGAGCGCCGTCAAACTTTGGTTACTTGGTCGCTCCGCCAGGGCTCTTTAATCAGAAGCCATTGGTGTCCCTTCGGTGAGTCCCACGAATACGGCAAGGCAGGAGCAAACGGATCTTCTGGACGCGCTTCGATGTTTAAGCCAATTTAGCAGGTAGCCTTGACTGTGGTTTTGAGGGGACCGACCCCACTTGCCCTCATTCTATCCATGGCTATAACCTATTTACCTGACCTTGGTTGAGACAAGAAGTTGCAAGCCCCTCCCAGACAAAGACTTCGATACGAATACCCGTTGAACACCCAAGTCCTCTTGCCCTGGAACTCACCACTTTGTGTGGGTCCTTTGGGCGGTCCTTTGGGTGTCCAGGTCTGGTCTCAGTGAATCGGTTGCGCTTGCGCGGTTCGCGCCTTTCGAGGCCACCTGTCCGAAGCGGAGCGAAAGGCGGCCGCGGCGAAAGCCTTCTTTCACGCGGGGCGGCTCAAAGAAATGGACCTGAGAGGAGCCGCCCTTTGGACACTGCGCTGAGAGCTCAAAATTCTCTCTAGACTTTTCTGGTCGGCGGCAGACGTGGGCCAATTTTTTTGCCCGGCTTGCTGATCGGGCGGCTAGAAGGGGAATTTGTCTTTGAGGGCACCTCGTTTTGGGATGGTTTTTAATGGGAAACCAAGGACACCACCCATTGGGGGGGGTGTCCCCTGGTTTGAAACATTGGCTTTAAGCTGGCTGGCCTTTGGTGTGACCTCACCCCCCTTGGACTTTCTGGAAACACGGTGCTTCTTCCATTACAACTACAAACGACTAGACCTTGTGCTAAGGCAGCGCAACCTAGCGATGGACCCCCTGAAGCTCTTGGTAGGATTGGCTTAGCCTCCATGCTGAACGGCCCAGTGGGGTGGTGGAGATTTGATATTCGAAACAATACCCATGTAGCCACCGGTTTTGGTTCGGAGAAGGCACCAGTTGGGAAGGATGGAACCTCAGTGGGATAAACCACCTAACTGGTGTAGGATTTATCCATTGTATTGTCTGCCCAAAGGACCATGAAGGATGCAAGGCAGAAAAACGGTCTGTTTGGGGGGTCCAGGAAACCGCCAAAAACCGCAGCCCAGAGTTGCTCGAGTGTTTAGACGTGAAAGATGATCAGTAAGGACACTGTTAGTGCAGATGCAGGCTCAATGCTTCCATTGAGTTCCCAACGAACTGATTAAAGCCAACAAGTCTCGATTCGTAGGACATATCAATCGAAGTTGCGGAGCCTAGTGCTTCCAGTTGTCGCTTTTGGTTGGACACCAGAGTTGCTCATCTGTAGGTTTTACCATGGATGGTTTGCAACCTGGTTACCAAAAGAGGCTTGCCTGGAAGCACTGGGGATGATTAGCTGGTCTGCTTCAATGGGGCAGTTCGAGGGAAGTACTTTGGGTGAAGAGTCCATTGGGCCAAGATTTGAGGGGCACCCAAAGACGCCACAATTGGCTCAAGGTGCCAAAAGCCAAACTCGTGATCGATTTTTATTCCTGTACGTCCCGATTTCTGGAATGCCCCCGTTTCGTTTGGACGGCATTCTATGTTTTTTTCTTGGGTGGTTGTGGGTTACTTTTGTGGTGTAGAGATGCGCTTGCGCCCAAGGTGTCAAAAGATGATCAAGTGGCCGCTTGCTGAGGGGCAGCAGGGTAGGTGAGGTGAGGGCACGAATCAACGCGTCGCATGACTTGCCACGCTGAGTCTTTCCTTAGAGCTTATCTGAATCCAACCAGGTGGCATGTCCTAGTGAGCCACCGCGCTGAGGCATCAAGTAACTTGTTGCATGCAACCAGATCCTGAAGGCTTGCAAGCAGAATCTCGCAGAAACAAATGAGAAGGGGCCATTTTGCTTTTTGGCCGCTGAGGGTAACAAAGGTATTTTGCCCCGGCAGCTGGTCTATGCTCAGATAGGCTCCAGAGTGGTTCGGAGCGGCTCTGGGATAGGCTTCCGGAAGGGTTCAGGGTTCCCGGCTTGAGCCAGTTTTACCTCCTGGGTTTCCCAGCGATTCTAGTTACCACCACGGTGCGTGCCCAGTTTCTTTCCCTCCAGGTTTTACATGAAGGTTTCCCCTGGTTACCCACTGTAGTGATAGCGGGAATCTCTGGCACATGATATCTGACGTCATTGTGTTGACTGTTTCTCAGGGGGTATCAAAGTCAGACCCAGGTTACGTTCCACTTATGGGCGATATTGCCAATGGTCAAATCATACAGTGGATGGACAAAATCCATTTCGCACCACCTAAGAAACCAGTGGATTTGCAGGGCGAATCATTCCAGAGTTTCTCAGGTGGTGCGAAATTGAATTTGTTGATCCACAGGGTTTCAGACGTGCATTTTGCTTGGATGTTAGGACTTTAACTTTTTGCCAACTACTGGGTTTTCCATAATTAAACCACTAAAAGTTCGACTTTTTGCAGGGGAGCAGAAAGCAATCGAGGTTTGGTCTGCTGCAGTCGCTATTTGTGAGTATTGCTCTCAGCTCCCTCAGGTGATGCTGGAGAGCCTGGATGAGCTGAACAACCGCATCGAGGGGAATTCCGGCAAGCGACGCCTTGCACGTTTTGCGACCATGGGGACCAGACCCTCTTTTTTTTCTGCTACCTGCAAAGGGCTACGGCAGTAAAGATGTCCATTCAAAGTGCAGGTAGGGAAAGAGAGCCTTCGTCAACTAGTTTACCAACCAAGGAGAGGGCGTCATAACTTGTTCAGTTGGAATGAGGTCAGAACAAAAATATACATTCCCTTTCGGGCAGAAGACCTACCCAAGCTTGTTATACTCACTTGCAGATGAACAGGGAACCCCAAGGCTGTTGTTCTCAGCAAAGTCTCCTTTTGGGGAACCCCCTCCTCTTTCTGTGTGTCATGCACCTGCATTGCTTGATAAAGCTGGGTTTTTCAACATGCTTGGTTTCTTTCTGGTTCTCTTCCAGCCCCACCTAGGGTTCCAGAAGAACACTCCATGCTAGAAGTGTCGGTCTCCTTGTGGACTCATTTTCTGAGTTCTGGACAAGTACATCTATGTGAGAAATCATTCACAGTGGCAAACCACTCAGCTGAGACATGTTTGTTCAATCCACACAGCTTTTGCCAACAGATTCACAAGGACTGACCCGCCTGGGCAAACTGTTTGCCCTCAACCATAGGGGTTTTTCCTTGGCTGGGGTTCCTTGAAGTTTTCCCTTTCCAAGTAAATTATATTTTTGTGGTCGGATTAGTCCTGGCCCAGATAAGCTGATTTTCCCGGGCTGGATCGACATGAACCCATTAGGATTCCAATTTGTCCCATTTCAGCAACTCACGGAGTCACGGACACTCTTTTAAAGATCCCTCGATACCAGGCTCTGGAGCAACCTGCAACCAACTGGTTTCTGGAATGCGTAACATTTGCCTGGAAATCCCAGAAGGTAGACCTTTGGTTTGGGATGCCTTCAAATGGAAACCAAACGGACGCGCCAGGCCAGTGGTCTCGGATTACCGCTACACCATCGAGGAGAGACAGGAGGAGCAGAGTCCGGTCGATGGGAGATTCGCCCCGATGCCCAACTCAAGATACTCCCGACTCCAAATACCCGGACTTTTAAGGGTGTGATGTCGACCCTCTACTACAAAAGGATGTATTTACTGGGGAAGCCAGGTTTTCCCAACGATACTCGAAAATCAGCGCATGCTTTGAAGGCTTTACTCAAAAAGGGACCACGGAAGACTAGGTTGTTTAGCAGAAAAAATGGTGATGCTATTGGGGCCATTTTAGCCGGTGGTTCTACTACCTGGGTTCTATAAAGGATATAGTAAACCTTCTGTAAGACTTTGTATCCAGGTTGGTAGAACCAATAGTCAATGATTGTTGGTCGCTGCTCATGTTTTTCTTGGGGGGGGACCCGTTGGTTTGTTTCAATCTCCGTTGCCTTTTCTGTTCCGCCCATAAACCAAGTGAGGTTTGTGGCTGGAAAGCCAGGCCCACGTGTTTTTTCTTTTCTTTTTTTTCCCGAGTGTTTATGTGGAAACTTGTTCCTTGAATTCGATTTATTCCAAGCTGTCAACTTGTATTTGGTTGTCCTTGTTGAGTGGCGGCAGGAACCAACAACCCTGGGATTGTTTGAAACCATGGGATTCGAGGCTTGAGGCGGTGACGACAAAGCAATGGCCGCTTCAGATTCCCAGGTGGCAAAAGGACAGCCCGCCGTTGTTTTACCCTCGGCGCCAGGCTTCGGCTGATTTGGCAGCTCCTTCGAACCAGTGAGTCAGAGCTGCTATTGCACCAAATTGATTTTCCCTTTAGGGTCAGGTGGTTTCTCATCCTTTCCGCAATTTCCTTGTCCCCAAACGCTAACCCCTTATTTGGGCTTGCTTCCCCTCATAAAGCTTATCCATCCCTTAGTCTTACTGGGGGCTTTGGTCCTGGTACTCGCATTTCACACCCAATTTGGTTGGCTCAGGAGAAGCTCAAGTTTGAGGAGAATGCGACAGGTTGCGTGGTCCAAGACCAGTTGAGCGGCGGGTTCCACACTGTTTGTCTTACCTGAGCTGGCAAGCTTGAAGCTTGTTTTTTTGCGGCTTTCTTTATTAGTTTCAGGCCTGAGTTTGGTTTGAAAGGAGCTTAAATGTGTTTTTGGCGCGTGGCTGAAAAAATTGGAGGTTTCGAAAATAGGCGAATCCACCTTTGCAAAGCATGAGCTGGTTGCTGGATCGCGGGGAAACCAGTCTTTCATTGTCCAAAAGATTGAGAAGTCAAAGCCCTGAGGCTAGGGGTCCTGGAGCTTTGGAGGACTCAGGGCTCCCTGTACCACACGCGGATGGCTTCGGGGTGTCACGCAGGTTTTATGGTGAGGCCCCAAATTCCAGGTAAGCAGGAGGGCCTCACCCTCGCAGGCGGTTCTACTACCTGGTTTCATGGGGGCTATATAGGGCCTGCACGCCTTGGAGGAGCATGGGGGACGCACTCTAATTAGTTGTTCCATGTCCCGTCGACGGGTTTTGGTCGCATGAGGTGATACCAAGAAGCCACTCTTTTTGGTGATGAAGTAAGCATGGGAATGGCAGACTTTGGTATCGTGGAAAGGGTCATTTTCCTCAACCATGCCCTTGGGTTCAAAGCACCATTAAGCAAATTGAGGGTCAATAGTCAATACAACCACCATTATTTATCTCAGGAGTTTCATCACCCAAATTGGGTCAACCATTATTTTACTGGGGGTTTTAAAACCAGGGCATGGTTTTGTGCGTTGGCAAGGTGAGGTTCTGGAGGAGGACTTTCGTATTCTGGCAGATGCGCTGGGGGCGACCAAGTACACCGACAGCCTCAAAGACTTCCCGCAGAAGTTTGTGCGCCTCGGGGAAGAATTCAGGGAAACCAACTAGCAGGGATACAGGGGGAACCAGGAATACGGGAGGATTCTTTTTAAATGCACCACCTTGACTAAGAGTGACATGGGAAATGGTCCCAAGGGAATCCCCCATATCCCCGCTCCCTCCGTATCCCCGCTTGTTCGTTTGTCCAAAGAATCATGGAAGGATCTATCACCTGAGCCAAAATCACAGCCCGGATAGATGAAGGTGAGTAAGGGGCAGTCCCAGCCAGAAAGAGTTGCGACCGCCTTCTTAATTCTTTTACATGGTTCCGGGTGGACCATTTTAATACCGGGTTTTGATTGTGACTCACCTGAGTCCCGGAGAGGCCTATGGGGCTTATCCTTGGCTTATCTTCAAGTGACACCTGAAAGTTGCCCTCTCAATGGAGGTGCCACCCCGAAAGGCCCCAAGTATGGACCTAGGGGAGCGCTATCACCTGTGCCCCTGAGGTCTCATGACTCATTAGATGTTGGGCTTACGCAGGGATAGCCACAGCCTTGCGGCGAAGGATTATTTTGAGGATTCAGTCTGCACGGGTTTTGGATTCAGCGATCGCAGGTAAGAGCAGCTTGCTCGGAATTACTAGTTCTTACTTAGTGACCAAGTGTTCCTAAATTTGGGCTAGTAGAGTATATGAGATGTTGATATTATTTGAAGCAGGCAGCTATTATTTGTTTCGTTTGCTGTTGAAAACCTGGCTTGAAGACCCATACAACTTGCCCTTTCCGATTCGTCGTGCTTTCGGCGCTTGTTTGCATGGCTTTATCTTCTGTTCAATGATTCATTCTGCTTTGACTGCTTGACCGTGTTTCTTGATGTTGGTTGTCTCTTGGTGTACGGTGTCCTTGTGTTGCTTCTACAGATGTGTTTCGCTGTAGGTACTTTTTGATGCCATTCTTTTCGGTGCCTTTGGTCTAGATTGTGTCGCGTTCCTTGCTTTGCACTTGTGCACGTGACTTGACAAGCTGGATGTGCTGCCATGGGGACTGTTCCCCAGAATATGTTGCTTCAGCAGACGAAGCTGCCTTCAAATTGCATACGAGGTTGGGTCAGACTTAGTGGTTGTGTATGGTTGCGAGGGGCATGGAGGAACTCACCAGCGCCGCAAAAAATGCAAACCCATTTGGTGGACGTGCGTCCCGATCCAAGTCCTTTTAGTTTTTGATCGATGTGAGGTTCACAGATCAGATCAGGCAGGATCAGAACCGGCCCGCGCATCGGGCGCCTCGGCGAGTGATGGGGCCGTGGTCGCATGCAGAATGCTACTTTGGCGTTCAACCACCCCCTGGGAAGTAGCTTACAACCGTGCTTGTAGCTGGGATAACCGTGCTTATAACTGGGGTAACCGGGGTTGGTCCCCTTAGTCTGCGAAGTGGCTTGAACACCCAAGTTGGGGTTGATCCGTCCGTCCGTCCGTCCGTCCGTGCATCGCTAGTGGTCGATTCCATGCTTCTGAGAAGGTGCTTGGACCCGTGTCTTTGAGATAGTCTGCTGGCTGTGAGGGATGGAACACGCATCAGCAGGCCTTGGATTTGGATGGCCGTACACACCAGCGGGTCGCAAACGAGCCAATTGGAGTGAACAAACCTCTGGCCATCGGCCCATTTTGATTTCTTGACTTGGGCGAAGCACCCTTCATCTGCAAGATGAATTCATCCGGAGTGAAGTCTGAATCTAAGCTTTGTGCGATCTTTGAATGACCTTTTGGAAACTGATTGCGTCCCCGAGGATCAGCACGTGTAACTTGCAGGGAACGGCCCACCTATTATTTTACTGCCTTCATTGGAAGCGCTTTCCTGGGATCATGGAAACCCAAGCCCTCGAAACTGAGCCAACGGGCGAGGAGGGACATCCTCGTTGTCTAAAGCTCTCACAGCAAACCCCTCCTGGGTGGTTTTGCTCAAACAAAAGCTAGATATACCTTTGTTTGACTTTGGGCATGGTTTGCCCCAAGAATGTATCCAGGAACTCGGGTCCGCCTAAGGGCTACCATTTTTGTGAGGCACCAGCCCATGGGACTTTCCCGGGACCATTGCGACATTGGAGTGCATCTTTCGGGACGCTCATTGGTTTGGATCGTTTGCTTCAAGGGTAAGCTGAGTTTTCACACGGTTTGATATACTTTGCTGAAACGTCCCGGCTTGCACAAGAACACACAGTAGTTGTGTGACACCTGGGAGATGGGGGTTTGGCAACCGCTTTCTGTATTGCCCTACATTCTTTCAGGGTACTTTGTGTTGTTGTTACTTTTTGTTGTTTGGTTTTTGTTTTTGGGGGGCGGGGCTGGTTTTTAACAGCAATCTCTGAACGAGGGTACCGAGCCTCAGCAAGAACTGGGGTCCACTAGGTGGACTACATCGTGAGCTGCCCCTGTTCCCCTGGGGACTTCTCCCTGCTCAACTACTTCCAGGAGTGGCAAGTGTTTTTTGCTCAAGTGGATATTTTGCCGAGGTGATGTTTATGGCCCCCAACAATGTTTGAGCTTCCTTTGATATCAGTGTGCCCTAAGGCCTAAAACATGTTTGGCCGAGACTCCAGGCATCCCGGGCTACTTGCGCAAAGCCCTAACAAATGATGTCCACCAAAGGGTCCCCCGTCAAAATTCAGCCCCATCTGGAGCAGAATCTTGCAGCTTGTTTTTGGTGTTGCCCCAGAGTTAGGCCAAGGAAATCTTGCGCTCGCTTTAACAGGGGGAACAGAGAGCCCCTTTTGCCGGGCTAACGCCCCCACGGAAGTCGTTTTGGGGGGTTCGATCAGCACCCTCTGTAAGAACTGGGGTGCTCCATACTTTCAACAGACCAAAGCACAAGGGCAGAAAATTGGTTTGCTGTCCTTTGCCTTGCTTTGGTTTCCCTCACTAGGGACCACTTGACGACGGGTCGTTACACCGAAGAAGGCCCGGGCAAGTTGCATCTATTCGATGGTCCAAGCCTTCGGACGTGGGAAATCGCTTCAAAAGAAGTCTCGCGAGGAGGTGGGAAGCCAAGGCATGTCCGAGCAGCTTGGAGTTGTCTTTTGTCCCAGCGTTGAACAGAGATCGATATCAAGAAAGCACAACTCACAAGGGAAGTGAAGGGAGCAAGGACATTGGAGGAGTTTCCTGACAAGCGCCCAGACTTTGAGGGTCAATGGCTAGGGAGTTCTTCTCCATCCCCTCTTCCTCCACATCCCCTCGCTACTTCGGTTCTCCAGGGAAGCCTACACCAACAAATAACACCTTGTAGGCCTTTTGTTCAAAGTCAAAGACGGATGTAAGTCATACCTGGCGGATACATCTGCCGGTTTTATGGGCTTCGCGGAAGGTCAAGCGCGTGAAAGCTATGATGTAGGTCTTTGACTTGGATCGATTTCCTCTTCCAGGTTTGGGATTTATCTTAAGATCTGAAGGATCCCCTCTGTAAAGCACTCCCGGCATCAACAGCAGGCTCACTTGCTTGTGCCCCACTTAAAAACATGATTTCAGCAGTGTTTCTCAGGGTCTTTTGCAACTCGACATTTCGAGGTGCCTTGCATCTCTGGCCTTGCTCGGCTTCGATTTTTGGAATACCGGGGCCAAAGGGTGGACGTTCTCGCCAGACCATTGCCTAGCTTTGCCCCTTTGTTTTTTGGGTTTCCTTCTTGGACCCGTGGACCCTTGTTTCTCTGCCTTGGTGCAGTTTTGGGTGCTTTCGACAGAATAGAGGGGGTACATTGCGGCTCCAAATTCACCCGTTGAGGTCGAGGGACCCCAAGGGGACCCCCCAAAGACACCCCCGTTGATGAAGACTACAATCGGAGAAAGCCGGAGGCCTCACTCATTCTCAGGGTTTGGACCATTTTAGTGGAAAATGGGCAGTTGAAGCACTTTGCTTGGCCAATCCACTCAGGAGGTGTGAGGCATGTTTGGGGGCCGGAGCTTTGATTGGCCGGCTACAGCTACGACGCATTGTACAAAAGCCGACGTTAGAGTCCCTTTAAATCAATGAAGAAGACATTATGTTTCGCGCTTGTCCAAAGCCGACCTTCTTGGTTTTTCCACTTTGGCGGCAATTTCAGTCAAGGACCCAAAGGTGTACCTTCCATATCCAGGTCCTGTGGGTGTAAGTGACATGGATTCAAAAGACCCCTTTTTGTGCCATTGACCCGTAGAAAAGCTTTACAAGCGCAAGAAACGCCCACGTCCCAGGTACTACAACCGCTAGCCGGCCTTGAGGCTGCGAGAATTTCATCAAGCTGGGCTGTTCAAAGACCATTATCTTCAATCACGGGTCTCCTTTGTAGTGGTTTATTGGGATTATGGATTAGGATTGGGCTACGTTCCATTTTGAGCAGCCCAACATCAAGCGGCGAGTGTAGGACATTGGCCATGTCTTACACACAACTTTTGGAGAAAGGAACGCGTCTGGTAAAAAGACAGCTTGTTTATTTGGCTGTGGGTCAACACCAATGGTACCATTTTGGTTGGTAGGTGCACCACCGATTTCAGTCTTATTTCAGTGGGGATTGGGATGTTCACTGGGGGTATTCGGATTTTGACCCATGGACCTTGGTCAGTCCTTAAATTGGGGGACCGACCAAGATGGTGATCGGGAGCCATGAGCCTCAGTGGCAGCGCGCCCCATCGATGTGAGCGGCTCCTTGGGAAAACCGGCCGGCACGGGAAGGGCGGTGGCTTTGCGCGTGCTGGATCCCTACGAAATCGCTCGAACCCGAAAAGGTTCCATTGATCGACCAAGTTTGACTCTGCATTTTTGATCTTGTGTGGCCTTTTTGGTCCATGTGCAGTGAAGGTCTCGAAATCATTCGCTCCTGGCAAGTGAGCAGTGCAAAGAATCTCGAGGCTGCCTTTCAGAGCAGGACATTCGTGGCCATGCTTCCCCTCCGCAATGATGCAAACGGAACGTCAGCAGTTCTGTTGCTTCAGGGTACCAGACATCAACGAGCAATTGAGCAAATCGCAGGTTTCTAGCATCGGGCTGCAGGCGCTTTACCGGCGTGGACTTGCCCACTACCGTCTGGGCGACTACGCCTCCGCGCGCCCCGGACCCGGGTCGATGTGGCAAAGTGATGCAAAGTGCCTTGCCTTCACTTCCTCTTTCAGCCAGTAAGCAACTTTGCACAGGTCCAAGTCTGGCGAAGATCAAGTGACAATATGTCCAGCACGTTCAATTTGACCATGGGTCCAGTGCTCCAAGCCTCAAGCCGAGTGCCCAACTGCTTTCGTCGTCCTTCGTTCGAGGCCCAGACCTGGAGGCAGCCCTGCAGGTGGTCTCACAGGCGCCCGTCGCAACGAGTGGATGACAGACGCCACAGAAAGCAGTGAAGCAAATGGCAAGGACGTGTTCTGGCTTGTGCAGATCGCCTTGATGTGATGTGCAGTATGCGTATAATGCAAGGGGAAAGCTGCCTGGTTCCTATGGCAGTATGGGTCTCCGCATTAATCTTGGTTCCAGTGGTGCCTGAAGGGAAATGAATCACAGGGCAAGGCAAAGTCAACCAATCCTTGAGCATGTGAGCCTTGCCAGCCCAGTAGATGAAGGAAAGGCCCCGGGAACGTCCAACTCATTTGTGCCAGGCTTAGTTGGGGATCCACGAGGTGATGTTTCTTCCCCAATGCACAGCCCCCAAATCTAGGTAGCCATGGTCAAAGGAGTCTTTTACTCGGGGTGACTGCCGGTCATCAAGCCTGGGATCACGGCAAGGATTTGTAGTCAAGGAGTTACGGTCACGTCCACTGCCAGTGGCGTAGCACTATTAGTATTATTATGTTTGTGTTTTACATTTGCAGCAAGGGATTTTGCGAGCTCACAGCGTTTTTGGCGGATTTGGTGAGCTCTGTTGAACCCGGAGGCCATGAACCGTCGTGTGCCCTGACTGGTGCCGAATCGGCTTTGAGTCCCCGCCATTCCACCTCCAAGTCCTTCCGACCCAGGCCTAGGGCCGCGAGGCCGCTAAGGGGGGAGTGGGGACTTTGGGGGACATGACATGTTTCATAGCAATCCGGTTGTGGCGAGGGCTTCTTATCTTGCCAAACGGCTCCATGTAAGCGATATGTGTCCAGATTTTGCAGTCACTGCCACCAATATTATATATCCCAAATGCGGGCAACTCCACACACCGTGAATGGACAACATGCTGCACCAGTTGGGATGAAGCCCTGTGCCAAGCCCTGTGACAACCGTGCTAGACCATTTGCCGGCTGGCGCCTGGCGTGGATGTCGCGGGTTCAGTGGGTCGCAGGCAGATGACTGGCCCAAAGAGGAGGCCGGGCGGCCCGCAAAGCGCGCGTAGAAGCGCTGAGAGTGGCTATTGGTGGATTCCTTTTCCATTCCCTGGGGTAGACTTAGGATACATTTTACATTTTACCAGTGACTCAAAGTGAAGCAAACAAGAAAAAATACATTCTGCAACTGTCGAAACTGGGCCGAACTCGAATCATGTTCCGAAGTCTCCATAGTCCCAAACTTTTGGAGCCCCGTTTTTGGGGGAGTTTGCTTTTGGTGTGAGTTTTCAGGGGGAAAGCCCGGGAATCCCTTAAGGGCCAACTTGCATGCTCCAAATGGACATATCCAAAACTTACTGGTTATATAGGTTATGTTATACAGGGTGCATACCCTAAAGTCCATCCCTAGGCCTATAGCTGAAGAAATGTTGTCTAGACCAGTGAGGGTCGACTGGAACCGTCCCCCAGCCTTCACCTCGCTGCTTTTTTGAAGACTAGTCGCGACCCTTCTTTGTAATCCAACACTAGAGGCGGCTGTACCCCAATCGATTGAGGCTTTCCTGGCACTTGCGGATACAGCCAGAAGCTTCACCCTTTTAGAGCGAGCCAAACACCCAGTGGTGCCCCCGTTTTTCATTTGGGGGGTGGGGCGTCCCTTGAACATCAACAAAACAAAGACTGCTGATCCAACGGGTCGGATGAGGCTAGGTGCCTGGCGGTTAACGTGGACCCTGCCTTCAACTTGTGTGGGCCAAATTAGAACGAGGGTGTTTGTGTTTAAAAAGATGTACCGTACTTTGATGGTTTTGAGGGAAAGCCAAACGGAAGAGGACTAGTTGTGGGGTCCAATTCCAAAAGAAAGCCGAGCCACCCACGAAGCCATGAAGGCCCTTTGCTTGTGAATTCCTTTCCAAATGTTCGAAGAGAGTGTGCGGCCTTAAACGGCCTATTAAGGCCCCAGGTCCTGGTCTTGTAGGGGGGAAACACCCAACGAATCGATGCGGCATGCCTTGATCCTTCGTGCTCCTTTGAAGTCAGGGGAGGATTTTCACATCAACCAACGTTCTCGTCCCAGACCAGTTAAGTTCCTCGCATTTTTGTGGGTGCTTTTGAGAAAACACTTGGGTTCTTGGATGCAGCATATTTGCACAGCCTACGGCTGCTGATCGATTTTTGGCCCTTTCAAAGGTCGTGACATCTCAAATTGCCAAGTCGGGGATGCAAGAGACCTCCGGTCGTGCCCCGTGCCCCATTTTTTCCGGGCGAGGTGTCATGGAAATCCACGGGGGGTCGGCATAAACCACCAAACCCATGGTTGCAAGTGTCCGTTGGTGGGTTAAGGGTTACAAACCTCTTAGCGATGTTTGTCCCATCCTGGTAAGACACAAGTCCAAACCACCAATGAGGGGTATCAGACAATCCCGACATCATTGGCCTGAAATAATTCCAGACTTGGTAGGAAGACCCTTGGGGCTCCGCGCAGGTGACAGGTTCGCCCTCATTTGGAAAGCAGTGAGTGGCCAGTTGTGGTGGCGCAAATGTAGGCACATTCCTTGGAGCCTTGGGTATGGACCAGGATTCAACAGCTGAGGGGTAAGGTGACTTTTCATGGCTCATGACTCCAGGCCATGCAGGACCTGGAGCGCCGAGTGTGGACGCTCAGTTGGCCAGCTGGTTGGCCCTGCAAAAACTTGTTCTTTTCTTTCAGGAAAACATATGACGCGATGCTGTGGACCGAAGACAAATTCCAGCACCAGTTGGTAGGTGGTTTGTCCCAGTTGAACTCTTGTTTGTGGATGGTGGATAAAACCACATTGTGTCGTGAAGTGCTTGGCTTGTCACTAGCTGCGCACCAGCAAAAAACAGAAGCTCACTGGGCCCACCCATATATCGCGGCAAATGCCGAGAGGTCAACCATGTGCACCATGTCGTGTGAGGCATGACTTGACAAGTTTCAACCGACAAATGCCCACCTGTCATGGCTGGTGGGATACCCGACCATTCTTCGCCCAATACTATATACGTAGAGCCGAAAGAGCTAAAACGCTGCACTTGGATTCGGTACGCATCGACGTGTCTCGTGGATCGACCCACAAGTAACGTGGGAGCTGCGCCGTGCCTATGGCAAAACTGGTGGACACCCGGTTTGGTTGGTATTGAAGCCCAAGCAGAGTCCAAAAGGAAACCAATCGTTTTAGGGGACCACTTTGACAGCCGGCTCAATGTGGTGAAGATGCTTGGCCTTTGAAATTCACAGTGATGCTTTATGGAGCAATTGTGCCTTCGGCTTGTTGGAGTGCTGTGCGTGTATTTCCCACTGAGGAAAGCTTTTGGTGGGGCTGGGGGCAGTAGCCACGTTGGAGTTTGTGCTTTTGGCTGAGCCAAACTTATGTTGGACTTCCTGGATTCCCACAATGCTCTATATCAGCGAACATAGACAACAGGTGCCTCCTTTCAGTGTGCTTGGAACCCTTCAAAAGGTTTTGGTCACTGTACTATCTCTGCTTTTGATCGCCTTTGGCCAATGCGCCGCAGAATGTCCTGTAGCTGTTTTGTTACACGGGAGTGGTTTGGAGCGTCCATCAGCGCAAAGCAGCACAAGAACCTATGCATGACGCCGTGCGTGTGTCAAGACCTCAAGGGAAACCATGACAGGATGTTGTGGAGAGCCATGTTGATTTATATGATGATATGTTTGTTTATTTGTTTGTGCATTTGGTTGTTTGTCTGCCTTTTTTTTCTCGCTCTCTTTTTTTGTTTCTGCTTGTTTCTTTCTTTTTTGTTGATTCAGTTCATTTGTTTCTTCTCCTTACTTCCCCTCCCACTCGTTTGGCTACCTCAGATCCGCCACTACCTGCTGGACCTGCGCCGCTACGGGGAGGTGGAGAAAGCTCGGGGCGCCCAAATCGCTCCGCCAGATCTTCAGGGGTACCTTTGTAGAATCGACTATAAGCAAAGTAAAGGATTCCCTATTAGGTACCCTCTTAGGTACCCTCCCTATAAACATCTATAAACAAAGTGGGCCGCTTCCTTTTTCCCAACCGCTCTTTTGGAGGGATGTCCCTTCAGAATAAATTGCGAAACAGCGGCTTCCGAGCCCTTTTTGTCAACTTTTTATCGGGGGGGGGGTGCGATTTCTCTTTGCAAACAACTACCCCCTAAAGTGCGAATTCCTTTTTGCCCATGGAGCTCCACCCAACCTCGGGGAGGGAGGGAAGCGATCTTCTTAGGGGGTTAGGAGAGTGCGTTGATTCATATGATTCAGTGGCTATGAATTTTACAGGGGAACCCCCTCCCAACTGGTTGGTGGACATACATCTCCACCTAAATGATGTCCACCACAGGACCCCTTAACAAAACTCACACCCATATGAGTATGTTTTTTGGAGGGCGCCCCACTTGTATAGAGGCTTAAACAAACAGGAAACCCATTGCCATGCTTAATCCGCGACTTGCAACTCACAGTCTAAGTTTTGCCAAAGGTATTGGCAAGTCGACCTTCCTGTCTTAGGCCCCTGTTGCCTGTGCAAGTCAACCACCATCGGATGTGGATCAACATAGAGGTTTTAAACTGGTTGTTCGGGTCGTACTTAGAAGTGGGGGAGTTCAACTTGGAAAAGGATCCACATTGCCATCTTAAATTGTGCAAAGGGTGTTCCATCAATGGTGCAATGTTTGGATGGTTTGCGCACCAGACTATCAAGGGAACATAGGTCCATATAAAGCCTTCATTTCTCCACCCCAGAGAACAATGGGCTATATAGCCTTTGTTACCCAACTACTGCCAAAACACACTGGGCTTTTTTTGGCGGTAGATCGCCAAACGAGATTGGGGGGTGATTTCTTGAAAGAACGACCAGTGAGCAGAATGGAGGACGTACCTTTAGAGCTATATACGTTTGTTTTTGCTTCCAAACCACTATCCTCCAAAATTGGGTTCCAGCCCACAAAGGGTCCCGCTTTTGTACGAGGTTCAACGGAGAAGGGGCTAAATGGGCTAAAGGTGGAGCTTTCAGGCTAGTAAGTCCTAAATATGGGTGTATTTTTTGAGTGTCCCCCTTTTGTGTGGAAGGGAACACCAAAAGGAAACCACTACTTTGGGTGATCCCCTAACACACATTTGAGACCACGTTGCTAGAACAAACAGTTGATAGCTTGTTTTCAGCTGTTCAAATGAGTCACTGGCAACATCATTTGGGTGTAAAGCCGACTGTTGGTCTTGGGACGACTTGGGGGGAATACCCAAGTTTGCAACACAAGCATCATGGGCACCGAGTCTCATGTCCTTGTGACATCTTGCCTTTGTCTACTCATCCTGGCGCTACGCAGCCGTAACATTCGACTTCAAGAGTGTAGAGGGGATTAACGTTTAGCAACGGATGACGAACCTGAAGGGAAGCTGCAAAGCATCGAGTCAAAGGTGTTGACTAGACAAAGGAGCAAGCATAGTTTTCAGGGAACCCATCGGTTTTTCCCTAGCGACAAAGAAGTCGTAGGGATCGGAATCCCACTTTATCACACACTCTGAGGAAACAAGGTCAACGACCATGAAATGAGGCCAGCCGAAGGCAAAAGACAGCGTCGAGCCGGGGGTGGATAGACATCGCCATTTGGGTCTCTCCGGTCTCTCCACAAATCTCTGGCAATGTTTCGGCTCAAAGCCTTTGCCAAATCCTGTGATCCTTACTACTACTTGTCCCCAGCGCCGTGGGGTTTTTGCCTAGTCTCACTGCGCCTCGTTTCTTGGATCCCTTGGATCCGAAGATTTTAGTCTCATGATCCGTGAGCCGAAAGCGCGACCTGTGCTGGGCCTCATCTTTATCTTGCTGCTCTCCGGGCATGAGGCGGGCCAAGAACCGACCCAGAAAACCCTACCCCGCAGTAGCCTTTGAGGGTGGTTTTTGGGGAGTTCAAAGGGTTTGTTTCTAGAAGGTACTGGGACCCTTATATAGGGTAGCAGATCCCAGTTAATGGGTGGTTCAAATTGAAGACCCTGATCGTGAGAAAACGACTGGAAGTTGACATGAACGAAATCCGCAGGGTCATTTCTCGTTGGCGATTCGGCTATTCTGTTGAGTCACAGGGCGCACAAGACCTGCTTTCAGCCAGAAAGCTAACCCTGAGGGTTCGTTGGTACTTTGAGGATGGCTTTTGATAAGAAGGGGTCAACCTACCTCCCAAAATTCCAATAAGCCGTCCAAGGGACCCCAGAAACGGTTGAATCTTGGGGGACCTTTTTCACTTCACTCGCTCATCTGGAGGAGAAACCAGCGACAGCATTTTACTTAAAGTTCAATCAGCTTAGTTGGTTATAACCATGCTTGTAACTGGGTTAGTCCACCGTATAACCATGGTTTTCAGTTATATCCTACTTACTAAGCGTGCACACCCAAGTAGGGGATTCCTTTTTTCCAGTTTGTAAAACAACCCATAAATCTAAATGTGAACATGCTGGTTTATGTGTACGCCAAATGTGGGCCAAGATATGTATGGGCCCTTCACCCAACAACGATGAAAAGCGGCTGGGGGATAGGTTGTCTAGCTTGGAACACGCCGGAAACGAATTATTCTCTGTAAGAGGGTGGCCAAGACTTTCGCAAACAAAGGAGCTGTTTTTGTATGTTGTTTGTTAGGTGGGGGGAAAGGTAACATGTGTTGCTCGTGGTTTATGATTTGCTCTCACTCACCACCGCGCATTTGTAAGTTCTCTGCCGAATGTTGTTTCCAACCATTCGGTATGTTGGACATGAGCAAGTTCGGCTTCGGTTGGACAATCGTTTCCCATAATTCAGACCCTTACTAGGGTTCCTCCCTTTGATGTATTTTATGGTAGACTAAATATGAAGCCTGATCTGAGCATCTTATTTTTTGTGTACCTCAGAGTAGGGCCACGCTAATTTAACCCAATACTCCATTTGGATGTTCAACCAACGTCAGGAAAGTAGGTCACCACCATGGTTACAAGTTAGAACTAGGCAACCGGGGCTCGTTCCCAAT